CCGGGCGCGCGGGGGCGCGGGGCGCGGGGCCCGGAGGCGGAGGCGCGGGGCGCGGGGCGCGGGCGCGGGCGGGGGGCGGGCGGTTTAAAGGGGCCGCCGCCGCCGCCGCCGCCGAGGCCGCCGAGGCCGCGCAGGGACCGAGGGCCGCGGCGCGGGCGGGAGAGGAAGAGGAGGAGCGGCCGCGGGCAGGGGAGGGGCCTCGGGCGCCACCGCCCACCGCGCGGCCGTTACCCGGCCGGCCCTCCCCGCGTCTCCGCGCGCCCCTGCCGGGGGTGGGGGTGGGGGGCCCCTCCGCGCGCCCGGCCCCCGCGCTGGACCCTGCGCGCTCCCCCGGGCGCGTCCTTCCCGGAGCCCCCGCCGGGCCCTCCCCGCGCGTCCGCGCGCGCCTGCCAGGGTGAGCCTTCCCCGCGCGCCCCTTCCTGGGTGGGTCCTCCCATCCCCCCAAACCCCCCTAGCAAGGGCTTCCCTGGGCCTGGGGCCTCCTGGCGTCCCCGGCGCCCTCTTCCCGGAAGGGTCCTCAGCCTCACCCGCGCCCCCTCTCCCCAGGTGGGCCCTCCCGGTGCCTCCACACCTGGGTCCTGCCAGCATCCCTGCTGCCCCTTCCCGCAGGGGTTCTCATCACCCCCTCCACGCTGGTCCAGAGGCCTTCCCAGGGCCTCCCGCCCCCTCGGTCCCACTCTCCCTTCCCTGGGGACGGAGGTTCTCCAAGTCCCCCACTGGCCTGAAGCTCAGCAGCCCAGCCTTGACCACAGGGCTGCGCCGCACACCTCCCTTCAGGGCCTGGGTCTGTCCACTCATCCCAGCGGTCTTTGTCCCCTGCCCTCACTGCCCAGCCCCCAACCCCCATCCATGCTTGGATAGTGGTGGTGCCTCCAGCCACCTCCATAGGGGCTCCTTCCCCACCCCAGCTAGTGCGGCCTCCCTGAACTGTGGCCTGATGAAAAAGCCAGAGGCGGGGGTGTGCCACTCCCAGAGGACGCCCTCTGGAAAGCTGAGACCCATGAGGTTCGGGAGGAGGAAGGCGACATACTCCAGGAATAGGGAGGCTGGAAGGGCTGTAACGTACCCAACACACCCGTCAGGATCACTAAGTGTGTGTGTGCGTGTGCGCCTGTGTGTGCACGCATGTGTGTGTGCACACGTTTCTGCGTGCGTGTGCGTGCGTGTCTGTGTGCGTGTGCACGCGTCTGTGCGCGCGGGCATGTGTGCACGTGCCTGTGTGTGCATGCGCGCGTGTGTACATGCATGTTGCTTCAGGTGCAAGGACTGTGGAGAATGCGGTGACCACGGGGAACGGGCAAGACTGGTGGCCCAGTCGGGAGGAGCATGAGGTAGAGGGTGGAATCCCAGGAGGAGAGAAGCAGGTCCCAGTGGGAGTTTGTAGCCAGGACTGACATCACTGCTGGGGGCCAAGAGAAATGTCATGTTTGGGCCCCCAGGTAGCTGGTCTGAGCACTACCGTGGGTTAATGCCCTTTACTCCCAGGGGGCAGGCCTGTGGCTGGAGGGAGATGATGCTGAGGGACACCCCTGTGGGGCTTGGAGGGAAACATTCAAGGGGTGGGGCCCCCAACTACTGGGGGAGGCCCCTAGGGACAGACCCGGAGGTCCCCAGAGCAGAGCCCAGAGCAGGTGCTGGGGTAAAAGCCAGGGGTTCCAAGGAGGGCAGTGAGCTGCAAGTGGAGCCTGCCCCGGGCTCCAGGAAAGGAAATGCTCTGCGGTCAGCAAGCCCAGCCCAGGGAGCCCTGGTGGATGGCTGCGGGGTGGGGGTGGGGTGGGGGAGGGGTGTCCCTCCCTCCCCATAGGCCCCCTTCCTAATGCCCTGGCCTGAACCTTGAACCCCCTCACCTGGACAGTGACACTGCACCACAGAACCTTCCAATACTCGACAAGCTGACCAGAAAATTAGAACTACCAAAAAATACCCAGGCAGCCTTTGGGCATGGAGAGAGCATGAAACTTCCTCCCTTGGAAGGGCCTGCTTCTGCCTCCATCCCAGAAACAGGACGGGCTCCGTCCTGAGAAGTGTGGCACTGGCCCAGCCGGGGAGGGCGGCTGACCGAGAGTTGGAGGCTGACTTCCTCCCTGTGAGTGGGACGGAGGACAAGCACGGCATGGGGTGGGCGGCCTGGCCGAGGGGGTCCAGGGTCTCAGGGAAGACATCCAGGCCCCGGGCTTCCCCACGAAGGATAGGGATATGGCCCTCCCGAAGCCGAGTGACATTTACTGAGGCCTGGGACCCCACAGCACACAGCTGCTCCAGCTGGGGCCTGCCTTCTGCCCCTTCCAGACTAATAAGAAGAAGGGACATGGCCCGCAGTGCCCTGCCCTGCTCCCAGGCAGGCGGCAGATCTCAGGTGAGCTGCAAAAGAGACTGTGAACCCGCCCACTTACAACCTCGCGGATAGACGCTCCGGAGATGGCTCCTGGCGTCAGAACAGGAATGAAGGCCTGGCGGCCACCTCCACTCATCCAACAACAGAGAAACTGGAGGAGGGAAGGAGGGCGGGGGCGAGGGCCAGCTGGAAACCCCGGAGAGAAGCCACCAGAAGCTGCAGGAGTGCGGGAGGCTGCGGGAACCTGGGCCGCACTTGCCGTCCGTCATCGGAAGCCCCAGTACTGGGTGACCAAAGAGCAGGATGGGAGCAGGCGTTAACGTGTGAAACTGCTGCTGGAATCAGCCCGGAGCAGCGAGGGGCAGAATGTGGATTACGGGTGCGGGAAAGGCTGGAGATACTTGGGGGACGAGACAAAGCAGCTAAAACAATAACTTACTCAATCCTGACTTGTGACACACCTGGCGGGCAGGGTTGGGGGACAAGGTCTCTGCCTCCAGGGGACGCACAGGCTAGCGGGTGACGGCTAGAGCTGTGAGTAATGCAGGCTACAAAGGACACAGGGAAGGGGACAGAGGAGTCACGGTGAGGGGCACAGCGGTGGAGAGGACCCAGGACGCTGGTGGAGGAGGAGGCCCCTCAGAGGGACAGGCGTGCACTGGGGGGCTTTGGGGCACCCCCGGGCGGCAGCATGGTGAGGGCCGAGACGAGCAGAGGCAGAGCACTGCAGAGAGCACTCGGGGATCTGCAGGAAAGGCCGGGTGACGAGGGGCCTGCACGCTCCAGAAATCCAGACAGAGCGGCGTCTGCGCGGAGGCCCATCCTGCCTGAGTCACTGGGCTTCAGGGGTCCCTGGGACTGGCTTTCGGAAAGCAGGTCACATGCAGGATAGAGTGGCAGCTGGGCCCGTGCTCCTGCAGCCACGGGGCACGGACACCAGGCTCTGAGGGAAGGCCAGCCACCCTGGCTGAGAAAGCAGGGTCCCCACCCCTTCTGCGGGGAGACCTGTGAGCACCACGAGGAGCCCCAGAAGCGTAGCTCTTCCGGCCACCAAGGGCTGAGCTCACGGGCGGCCAGTAAGGGTGTAACCAAAGTGAAGACTGAGCGGCCACGTGGGGCTGGCGAGCTCACCGCGGCCTGGGGGGTCCGGGCGGGGGGGGGGGCGTCGGTGCAGGCCCGAGGCCCGTGCCAGCCCCCAGCCGGAATGACAGTCCCGGCGGGCGGGGGCGGGGAGCCCAGCGCCAGCTCCTCCGCGCTGTGAGCCGCCTCAGCCCGCACTGTGTCAGGGGAGGGCACAGCCAAAGCCACGTGACACCGTCTCTTGATTTTTTGCAATTTCTAAAAATAATCTTAGGAGAAGCTTTTAAATTTGGGGGGAAGACGCATTCATTAATTCAGCAATCCTGTTTTCCCTTAAAATTAAAGTTTCTTAGGTTTGCAGGGAGGGGCTGTGCGCTTGCTCTGTGTTTCCACGCGCTCTCCTCGCTGCCTGGGTCTCTGGAGGTACCTGGGTAGCCTTCTCCGCGCATCCGCAGCCTGATCTTGGTGCGACTGTGGGTGAGACTTTTCAAACCTCACTGTTGAGTAGTGAGTGCGTTCTCGCAGAGCCCACGGAGTCCTTCTTTTCAGCAGGGCCGGTGCTGGCCCTCGGGAGGACACAAACAACAGCCCCAGCGCACACCTGCTTTCCTCCTCGCGGTGTCTACGGCCGCCTGTACTGCCTGCTCCGAGCTGACCTCCCTCGTGAGCACAGACAGGTGAAAGGACGCAAGGGACTCGCGCGGCCAGCGGGGCAAGCCTGCCGGTGGGACACTGTCCACCTTGCCGCCAGAGCACTCCAATGCCCCCCCCCCCGGGATGTCCCCAAAGGACCTCCCTCCTCAGAGGTATCCCCACATGGCCCCCCACATGGGGATGTCTCTGTGATGGGGGGGTGTTGTTCCTCCCGGAGCATGAGGAGAGACCCACCTGGCTGGAAGGGCACGGGCGGTGAAGAATGGACACCGGGGGCGGGGGGCAGCGCCTGGGGGAACCGTCGGGAAAGCATCTCTTCTTTCTTTAAGATTTGATTGATTTATTTGACAGCGAGAGACAGTGAGAGAGGGAACACAAGCGGGGGGGAGGGAGAGGGAGAGCAGGCAGGACCTGGGATCATGACCGGAACCAAAGGCAGACACCCGATGACTGGGGCCCCCGGGCGCCCTGAAGCGTCTCAGGCTTGGTTTCAGCTCAGGTCACGAACGCGGGCTGCGGAGACGCGCTGTGCTCAGGGGGGACTCTGCTTGGGATTCTCCCCCTCCCCCAACTTGCACTCTCAAAATAAATGCAATCTTAAAAAATAAAAACAAAGAAGGGACATAGGTGGGGGTGGCCCAGGAGACGCCCCCGCCGACTGCTGCGGGCCTTAGGCTGCTCGTCCTGCCGACTCCCGCTGTGCTGCTGGGGGACCCTCTTCTGTCCCAGGGGCTCCGCGCAGGTGCTATTCCCAGCTGGGGCTGACCGTCCTTGGTTGCTGGGGGGGGGTCCCATGTTCTGTGGGATGGGACGCAGCACCCCCAGGTCTACCCAGTCGGTGCTGGGCCCCGGGGAGGGCACGGCACCCCAAAGAAGAATCCACATCTTCACCTCAAAGCTGTGAATGTGCCCGTGGGGCCTGGGACGGCTTAGCCATGACGGTGGAGCAGCAGCCCGCAGCGCCGGGGGCCGACAGAAGAGGCAGAGGCCCCAGAGAAGATGGGGCGTGGGGCCCACAGGGGCCACGCGGCCACCCTTGAAGGCAGAGGAAGGGGCCACACGCCAAGGCTAGCAGGCAGCTTCCAGAAGCTGGAAAAGGCCAGGAACGGGTTCTCCAGAAGGGCCGGCCGCCGTGCGCACAGCCTGATCCTAGGCTGGTGAGGCCCATTTGGGATCTCTGCGGAGCCCCAGCCAGGGAACGTGAGGACAGGCCGTCTGCGGCGGTGCTCTGCTGGGGCAGCAGCAGAAACCAGAGCTCTGGGCGACAGCAAATCCATCCCCCGGTGGTGAGTGACCCCTGTCCTGGGCACCACACTCTACCGGACAGGGTCACTGGGAGGGTCCTGAGGCCTTAGTAACCATGGTAACCACGCAGGAGGCAGCTGAAGACGCTGCGCGGCTGGGGTCTCACCGCCCCACCCAAGGCCCCTCTGCTCTGCTGTGGGGGTGGGAGTGCCGGGCCCCGGGCAGCAGGCTCCCGGCCCAGCAGAGGTGCCGAGACCATGTGGAAGGCAGAGGGCCGGCCGTCGGGGCATCCTGGACTCCTCACCATCTGACTGCAGCCTCATGACCCGCCCCAAGCAAGACCAGAACCGGTAGGTCAGCCCGGTGACCCTCCGGACCCCGCTCCGTGATAAAGAACTCCAAAGCCCTTGTCACCTCTATCTGACTGTTGGCACTTCGGCTCCCATTCTGCACTGGGAGCACTGCTGGGGGGGTGGGGGGGTTCCTTCCTGCCCAGCTTGGAGCCTGGCCCATGACGCCCACCCCGTAGTTCATCATCAGAGATCCCTAAAGAGGGGAGAAGGGGGTCATATTGTCCCCCAGGCCTCAACCTCAGCCTGCCCCTCCGGACACAGGCCACAGGTTCTGGGACCCAGGGAGGCCTAGTTCCTGCCCACACCCCAGACCTGGGGTTCCTCACCTCATCTAGCCTGAAGTCCCCGCCACCCAGCTGTCCCCACACAGAAGCCCGTCAGCCTCTGAGAGTCAGTGGCCAAGTCCCGGGGACGGCTCCCACCCCCTGCTGCTGTCCTTCCATGGCCCTGGAGGGCTGGGAGCCTGCCATCACCCCTGCCTTCCCTCCTCCCGCTTCCAGTCCCCCTCCAGCTCCAGCTCCGCCAGTGCACTCCCCCACATCACCCGGGGCTCAGAACCCTCCACCCACCCCTCAACCCCCAAAAGCAGACGCTGGGATGGGCCCAGGGCCCGCTCTTCACAGCTTCCCATGGCCTCTGTCCGCCAACCACTGTGTGGAGGTGGGGAGGCACCCCTCCTTCAGGAAGCCTCCCTGTGCTCAGCACCCCCTGGCTTCTGCTCCCCCAGGGTTACACAGGCCCCTTTGGACCTACTGCAGGCAGGGCCCAGCATGAGAACTGGTGTCCCCCAGCTGGGTGAGCACTCGTGCCCAGCAGCTGATGGCCTCAAACTCCCCACCCTCCTGGAGGGCCAGCAAGGGAGTTGCTCATGAACTGGGCTCTGTAGGGGCCCGTGAGCCATCATGCCCTCCTCCCCCTTCGCAGGCCAGGCCTCTCTAGGCAGCAGGCTCTTCCGGTACCACCCCCCACCCCCACCCTGTCCCCCAGGCCCCTTCAGGGAGCCTCCTGGAGGCTGGGCTGGGGCAGGGCACCCCCCCCCCACCAAGGTGGCCTCCAAGGTCTCAGGGCTGCGTGTTCTAAGGAAGGGGCAGTCACGGGGTCCTCCTGGGCCTGGGTTCTCTCATCCCTGGGCTCACGAGCTCCCGCGGGAGGTGAAGAGGCCGCCGCCTACCCCAGGCCCCCAGGAAAGGCACTGGAACACAGACACTGGGCTGAGTCGTCTCTTAGGAGGGCAGTGACCTCGAGACCTGCGCCTTCGAAGTCGTGGTCTGCCAGAAAGACGAGCTCCGGGCCAGGAAGGCGTGGAAGGCGTGGGCGGACTCAGAGGACCTCAGTGGGTGGGGCAGGAGCACGTCCTTGTCCACGTCCTCGGACACCAGCTGGGCCACGAGCTGCGCAATGTCCTGGGGGCAACCGCGGGGTCAGGGGGCGGGTCCAGGCAGGGCCTGTGTGTTGCCGTGCCCCCCGCCCCCCCACTGCACACCCTGTAGTGGGGGTCAGGCCCGCCGGTGCCCGGCTCCTCCCCGCCGTCCTGCGTGGCCAGCTGCCGGCGCTCCTCGATGCTGACGCTCCCGCGGCGGCTCGCGGGCCTGCTCTCTGGGGGCTCGCACACCTGTGTGAACAGGGGCGCGGTCGGCACCAGCCACACCTGTGCTCCCGGCTCCCGCGCCCGCCGACCCTCAGCACCGCACGGAGAGCAGCCCACCCGCTCCTCCCCAGGATCCGGCTCGGCCTGCAGCAGCTCCCGCCTCGGCGCCCGGCCCCACCGCCGGCCACTTTTCTGCGCAGGGGTCATCCCCAGACAGGGAGGTCCTCACAGCGGCGGCCGCGGCCCTTCCCACCGGGGCCATGAGGTGGCAGGCAGTAGCGGTCCTCCAGGCTGGCCTGCAAGAGCCTCAGGAGAGATGGGGTGGAAGGGGCTACTCCTCGAGCCTCCCAAGTCAAGAAAAAGCCGCAGGAACCGTGAGGACCGGTGGAGAGGGTGGCCAGGGGCCAGTGTGGAGGCTCAGCACAAGGCAGGAGGCTGGGACGGCGTCTGTGACCGGGAAAGACCAGAAGCCGCAGCCCCGCGGCACCGTCCCCCCACCCCGCCCCGGCAGAACTTCCCAGGTGGGCTGTATGCGACAGACCCTCGCAGACTCTGGCCAGGCCTGGGGATGCCCCCGCTCCCTCCTTGGGCAGGGGGGTGGACAGCCGGTCACTGTCTGCAGTGCCGCAGGGAGCTAAGGACAGAGAATTGAGACACGCGCAGAGTGAAGTCCCCATTCCTCAAAGAATTAAAACGAGAATCCCCGGTGGGCCCTGGTGGGTGTGTAGCCGCAGGAACCGGCAGCAGGCCTCACAGAGACACCGCACGCCCAGGTCACAGCAGCACGGCCCACAACAGACCAAAGGCTGTGGGAAAACCCAGATGGCCGTTGCTGTGTTCCCTAGATGGGCAGGTGCTGGCCGCGGACCACGATTCAGCCTTAAAAAGGAAGAAACGTGGCTGAGCCCTGAGGACACTACGCCGAGTGACACGGGCAGGTCACCGGAGGAGAAACCCTGTGTGATTCCACTCTGGGTGTCCCCAGAGGAGTCAGATCCACAGCAACGGGAAGCAGATGGGGCAACAGGGCTGGGGAGCCGCCCCCCCCAAGTAGACAGGGACAGCATCAGAGTCACGGAGCAGAAGTCCTGGAGATCGGGTTCCGACAACATGAACGTACTCAGTGCTGCTAAGCCATATACTTAAAAATAAGAAGCAAACCCCCCAAAGTGGACATTAGGGCCCAGAGACCCCCACGGAAGGGGACGTGAGGGCACACAGAGACCTGGGCCAGCCACAAGCCGAGGAGGAAAGCCAGAGAAGGAAGCGGCGCTGCTGGCACTTGGGTCTGGACCTCGCAGCCTCCAGACCTTGAGACAACACATTTCTGTGGTTTAAGCGTCACCCCCCCCCCAACCACCACCAAAAAAAAAAAAAAAAAAAGTGAAGCCCCCAGACCCTCTTTCCACTCTGCACCAAGATCCATGGGGCCTGGCTATTCCCCACATCCTCCCAGGAGAGGAAGGTTCTTTCCTGGAGAAAACAGGCGGCCTGACAGACCCCAAGGGTGGGGCGCCCAGGGCAGAGCCCCCAGAAACCTCCCCCCTCCCAGCCCAAGTGCCTGACCACTAGTGAGGCTGCCCCCACGCGTGGAGCCTCAGGCCAGCCCCCCGTTCTGCTCTTCTGCACTGACCAGGAGCAGGTGTGGCCTCTGCCAGGGATGAGAGACTCGGGGGACAGGAAAGAGCCCCCCCGTCCCATAGCTGTTGTTCTCCCAGACACAGATGTCCCCAAAACAGAAAAAGGGGGGGATGTGGGAGAGGACCACTCAGACGGCAAGCCGGAGCTCTTTAAACATGCAACTGTGTCCACAGGGAAAGCTCCCCACAGGCGTGGCCGGTGGCGTGGGGTCCCTCCCTCTGTCCGGCAGTAGCCCTGTGGCATCGCCCACCAAACTCCACCCCACTCCCCGCAGAGCAGGGTGACTGGGAGCAGAGCCCCTGCCCCAAACCCGCCTCTCAGGTCTCCGCCATCCACCACGGCCGCGGCACCCCTGGAGGACCTCTGAGACGGCGCGGCAAGCGGGGGACACAGAGATCCTGCTGACCTCAGGCCCCTGACGGAGGGCGAGCAGGAGCACACGGCGGCTCAAGGAAGTCGTCACAGAGCCGGTCATTACAGCAAACGCTGACCGCGAAGGCAAGGACTGGCCGAACGCCAGAAACAAAGACACAGTAAGCAGGAGCCGGAAGAAACCTGGAGACTGCGACCGCGTAGGTCAGCATCCAGGCACTCAGATTTCGGGAGAGAGTCGGGGAAATGAACACGCACATGCGCTTCCCAGAGACAAGGGGGTGCAGCGGCAGACCGTGGGAGGAAGCAGACGGGGGCGTGTGGGAGCTGCAGGGACCCGCAGAGACGGTCGTGGGCCACATGCCGAGGACCTGAGGCCACACGGTCGCGGGCATCACGCAGAAACAGCAAGGGTTAGGGCCATGGAGTAATCCACGTCCTGGAAGAACGGGACTTTCCACCGAGAGTTTCCACCCACAAAAGCACCACGCGAGTGCGGAGGCTGAACGGGACGTCGGAGCAGCTCCACAGTCCGGAGCTCAGACCTCTCCGGGGCCCTCCTTCCCAGGCCCTCCACCAAAAGGGGAGTAAACCAGCACGGACAGAGACAAGGGCCCAGGAGCTGGGGTCCTGCAGAGGGCAGGCCAGCAGGGGCACTCCAGATGAGAGGCCTTGGGGGGCAGCCTCCCCTGGGAACAGAGCTGGCCTCTGGGCTCCCCAAGTGTGGCTTGCGGGGCCCCGGAGCAACCACAGGCAGTTGTCCACATGCCTGGGGCTCTGAGGTGGACTGAGCTGTGGGTTCAGCGTGGGGCTTTGTCGCCAGCGACGCAGCAGCTCCGGGTGTGGCTGGGGTCCCCGAGGAGAGGGTGCACGGTGAGGACAGGCCCCGAATCCCAGAATCCCAGTTTGCGGTGGGAATGGCCACGAGAGCTGGAAGCTGTGGGCACCGGGCTGTGCCCCTTGTGACCCCCAAGAGCTAGGGCAGGGCTGTCCTCCTAAGTTACACAAGCACATGTGTTAAACAAATGGTCCAAATTTTGGGGGTGCCTGGGTGGCTCAGTGGGTTAAAGCCTCTGCCTTCGGCTCAGGTCATGATCTCGGGGTCCTGGGATCGAGCCCCGCGTCGGGCTCTCTGCTCAGCGGGGAGCCTGCTTCCTCCTCTCTCTCTGCCTGCCTCTCTGCCTACTTGTGATCTCTGTCAAATAAATAAAATCTTAAAAAAAAAATAGCCCGTGGTGAGGCAGCGTGATCTGACAGACCAGGAGGAGGATGCACCGCCGGCCGCAGGCAACCGCGCTGCCCCCAAACAAAGGGAAGGAACATCGCACACGTCAGCCGCGCTTTAGGCCAACAAACAGACGTGCCAGCACAGGACGTGTCCGGGTCGCATCGGGTGGCCACAAGACAATGCAATTAAAAATTAACAGCAGAACCATACTGGGGCGGACCTTCCAAAGCACCCCTAATCCGCCCCGAGTGAAAGGGGAAGCGAGGCCACAAGCCAGCTCCCACAGACACGAGCAAGGATGCAGGGCGCACCGGCTGCCACCATGGACAGGACCCCAAATGCTGGAAAATTAGGAAAAAGCCCCAGGATGGGTAAAGCAAGCAACTCAAGCAGCGAGGAAGAGAGCAACAAAGTAACTTCACCAAAAGTTAGAGGCAGGAGGAGGAAAGATTAATGAGGTTAAATGGAAAAAAAAAAAAAAAAAAAACAAACAAACAGACGCCACAGGACCGGAGGCCTCGCGGGCCCAGCGCGCCCCATCCCACAGCCGCCCCCTCCTGCCGAGCATCGCCCGCTTCCTCCGAGAACTGAGTCCATCGCTCACACGCCTTCCACTCCACGCTGAAAACCGCCTTCCCAGGGCCCGAAAGCGTCTCTCCATAGAATCCAGTTGGTTCACGTTCGAACGTTGTGCGCGGAATGAGCAGTTTCTTCCAGACCGTCTCCTCAGATTTTTGTGTCTTTGCACTAACCTTTAAAGACTTTGTCCGACTTGTAGGATTTCCCAGCGTGGATTTAGTGTGGGGCCCCGGTAGGAACCTCCCCACCCGCTCCCCAAGCTTCCGACGCCGCCGTTGCGTTGTCCTGGCCCGACTGTGGTTTGGTTTTCACGATTGCTGTGTTTGATCTTCGGAATGGGCAGCCAGCCACCGCCCTGTTCCTGGAGAAGTCTGTCCCCCGCTGTCCCATAAGCCCCAGACTCACACAGGGACTAGTTTTCCAACTATTTGCCCTGGACTGTGGATGTCTTGCCCGTGTCTGTCTCTCCCAATGCCATACGCTTCTATTTTATTTTAAGATTTTACTTATTTGAGAGACAAAGAGTGAGAGAGAGCACAAGCAGGGAGCGTGGCGGAGGGAGAGGGAGAAGCAGGCTCCCCGCCGAGCAGGGAGCCCGCCGCAGGGCTCGATCCCAGGACCCCAGGATCATGACCTGAGCTGCAGGCAGAGGCTTAATGACAGAGCCCCCAGGCGCCTGGTGCCGTAGTGTCAGTCGCTGGAGCTTAGAACTGACAAGCAAGACCCGCTCTTATCCTTCCAAGTCGTTGCAGGGTTTCTTTTCCAAATAAAATTTCAAAACGAAAATCCTTATTCATTCAAATAGTATCTTTACGGTGCAGTGACACGTGTGTCTTTGGGCTCTACATAAAGGAAGCCACACTCCGCACACGCCGTGCTCGTGCTTTCTGCAGCACGACCATGTCTCCTGGGTCAGCCTGCTGCTCGTGCAGGGGCCCCACCCACTCCCCCTCCAGACCCAAAGGCAGAGTTTGGCACCAAAGCACGCCAGGAGCAGATGGGAGGCTGTTCGTGGGAGGTCTCGGTCCCACGGGCTCAGAACGTCCCCGCGCTTAACCCACTGAGCCACCCGGGCATCCTTATTTTCCCCTCTTCTTCACAGATTATTTTTGCAGGACGATGGTCACGCCCCCGTACGGACATGTCTCGTCCCTCCTCTCCGATTACTGCCAAGAGCTTAGCTTCGTGTCTGGCCCTGCGTCTCGCTGTGACGGCCCTGGGGACAGACTCCTGTCACTGCTGCTCTTGGGGCTTGCTGGGCCTGTGGCTGTGGCTGCACTGCCCATGCCCGCCAGCTTCCGGTGGCAGCTGGCGAGGGGCAAGGCTGCCTGCCCGCGCCGGCACCGGCGTGACCGCCGCGTGAGCCACTGCGGAAGCGGGCTCTCCAGCCGGTCCGGTTTCCCAGCGGCCGCAGCTCCAGCGTCTAGGCTGTAACCGGACAGACCAAAGCCAGTCAGCCCCCACATCCCAACCGACAGAGACTGGCACAGACGTAGTTGTTCTTTTGAGCTGCTGAGTCTGGGGGACATTTGTCCGGTGCAGCAGGTAGTTGATACCTGGACAGAGACGTAGGCACGTTTAGGGTAAGACTGTCAACACTCATGAAAAGTTCTGTTTTTTTGAAAAACTGGTATTGCACCAAAGAAGGTACTTGGGGGAAATCTGGCAGGTTTAACGTGTTGAATGTTCCCGTGAAAGGAGATGGCACAGACTTCCGTCAGCTGCTGTCGGCGCTGCTGGGCCCCAGGGTTCGTCTCAGGAACGGATTCATTCTTAGGGACTTTGCAGTTTCTGTTGTGAAAGGGAATGAATCCTTTTCTCCCCACTGCATTTTCTGCTCGGTTATTTTCGGTGTACTGAGAAAATAAGTTTTACTTCTTTTATGTTTATTTATTTGAGAGAAAGCGAGTGAGCCAGAGAGCACAAGAGGGGGGGCACTGGGGGGGAAGCAGGCCCCCCCGCTGAGCAGGGAGCCCCACCATGCGGGGCCCGACCCCAGGACCCTGGGACCACCACTGGGGCCGAAGGCAGACGCGCAACCGACAGAGCCACCCAGGGGCCCCCAGGAACTACCGAGCTTCCGAGGGAGGTCGCCCCCGGCCGTGCTCTTCCTGGTGGTCATCTCAGCGGCTCACGCGGGGTTCCAGCCGGTAACGGGTCAGCTGCAGATACCGGCCGTTTCGCGTCTCCCTTTCAGGTACTCACAGCGCGCTCCATCTCCCGACGGGGGCGCAGGCTCGGGGTCGGACGGGCCCATCATCGTGGCGACCCTGGGCGCCCGAGAGTCGGACCGAGGCTCCCCAGAGCAACCGTGACACGTCACAGACGCGTCCATCGCGTCCTGCCTTACTCGGAATCCGTCGGCTTTCACCGCGGTAATTATGCCTCAGTTAAGGAATAATCAATAGGTTTTTATGTCTGTTTTAAGGAAAGATGCTGGAATTTACTACCGTTATTTTCCGTATCTGTTGAGAGGTCACGTGCTCGTCCCCCTCGCGAATGCAGACGACTTTATCCCGTGCGCTTCTCGAGTCCTTCATCGTTTCACACGCCGCGTCACATACTCGCCGGGCACCGGGGCACGGCCCCACCCGCACAGCTTCCTCGGCGGGTGGGGAAGAGACAAAGTGCTGGCTCCCGGGGGCACAGGCACGGGGGCTGCGGGGTCAGGCCGGACCTTTAGTCTTTCAGGTGCTGCCTGGTTTGACCCACTCACCACATACGCAGCTCTCCACGGTTTGTGCCGCACTCCCACCGGCGCCGGCACGCCGTTCTCCTTCTTTCCCCTGCCCCGCGGCTTGGGTGCTGTCGGGCAAAGCCGCTCCAGGCCAGGCAGAAGCGACTCTGCAGTCGTCACCGCACAGGTGGGGGGACTCACCTCCTAACGGCCTGGAACTGCCCACCCCAAGTCCTTCACAGAGCGAGTTTCTGGGGCCACCTGAGAGCTTCCTTTGTTGTCATCGGTGTCTCCGTTTTTTTTCTTTTTGTTTTTAAAGATTTTATTTATTTATTTGACAGAGAGAGAAGGATCACAAGCAGGCAGAGAGAGAGAGAGGGGGAAGCAGGCCCCCCGCCGAGCAGAGAGCCCGATGCGGGGCTCGATCCCAGGACCCTGAGATCATGACCTGGGCCGAAGGCAGAGGCTTCACTACGGAGTCCCCCAGACACGCCCCTCCCGTTTTCGAGAGGAGGGGTGGTGGCGGGGGTGAGTGCCGTCCTGTGGTTTTGGTTGGCATCCTCTTGGACTAGTGACGCTGAGTGCCACTCGACGTTCTCGATGACGCCTGCTGAACAGGAGAAAGGTCTGCTCAAGCTCTTAGCCCGTTTCGGACTCAGGCGGTCTCGTCCGGAGCTCCCTTCTCTGTGCATTCTGGACCCTACTCCCTTCCCGGGTGTGCCATGGGCAAAGGTTTTCCTCCCGTTCCGCAGGCTGACTTTCCACTCTGTCCATACTGTTTGAAGATCTAAAGGTTTTAATTTGATGGACCCTAATTTATTTACTTTAACATTTGTTGCTCGAGCCGTTGGCTATCATGTCCAATGTAATGAAGGTTTCCTGTGTTTTGTTCCAGGAGTTTTGTAGTTTCTATGTCTTTGAACATCTTGAGTTAGTCTTTCTAGGTGTCATCAGGCAAGTCCAACTTTCGGGTCTGGGTGCAAGTCCAGAGTTCGCAGCACAGCGTGCGGACAAGACGGCCCCCCCACCATGGAGCATCTTGGTGCACTGATCTCTAACTTTGCCCCTGGTGTATGTTTTGACTCCCTGAAAGTTGGTGTTTTTTTTTTTAAGCTTTTATTTATTTATTTGACAAGCAGAGATCACAAGTAGGCAGACAGGCAGGCAGAGAGAGAGAGGGGGAAGCAGGCTCCCTGCTGAGCAGAGAGCCCGATGCGGGGCTCGATCCCAGGACCCTGAGATCATGACCTGAGCCGAAGGCAGAGGCTTTAACCCACTGAGCCACCCAGGCGCCCCTCCCTGAAAGTTCTGTTGGTTTTCCACATGTGGTTTAAGGTGACTGCCTGCTCTCTCCTGGCTCCTGGACTCGGAGGCCAGAAAGGCCACCCCTGCACCTGGGGTTCTCCCCGGTGTTCAGTGAGAGGCACAGCTATGACTGTCTTCCCCGCATCTGCATGGCTGCCCCACAAGACTTACTTGAAGTCCGTCTCCCCCACCTATGCTAAGTTCTGCGGGCATTTGGGTCAATTTCCAGACTTTCTTCTCAGTCCTGATGGTCACGCGTCACGCGTCAGGACTCCGGCTTCGTGGTGAGAATTCACATCTGCTACGACTGGACCTATTTTTGGTTTCTTCTATTTTACCGGTTTGCCGTACCGAAAAAGACAAGACAAACGTTCGTTTCTAAAGTTCATCTTTCTTCAGGCATCTCTACACCCAACGGGGCTTGAACGCACGACCCCGGTATCAAGAGTCGAGCTCTCCTCACCAGGCACCCCAAATATTCAGCACCTTTGCTGTCCAGGACACTGAACTGAGAAAGGCCTGAGGACCCTCCGTGCAGGTCTTCTCCTCCGGGAACGGGCGTCTCTTCCTGTCGCCGGGCCTCTGGGGGACACTTTGGGGGCGTTTTAAAGTTTCTTTCAGGGACGTTTGCCTACTTCCTGACAAGTTTGCTCCCGTTTTCTGATTGGCCTTTGTCCTCTTTCTCCCCGACTCTTTATAACTGTGCGGGCCACTGCCCCACGCAGCTGCGAGGACCCTCCTCCCCGGCTGCCCAGGGCGGTTCCGGTCCCTTCTCCCAAACGAACAGGCCGTCATGTCCCCCGTGGTGCTGCTGTCCCCTGCGTTCACATCCCTCCGGTCTGGCCGCGTGGCCGATTCTCCCGCGATGGCGCAGGCCGCCGGGAGGACGAGGCGCACCAGCAACCCCGTCTTGCTCTGCTCCCCCGGCCCAGCTCAGCTTCTGGCTTTACCCTCCTTGGAGACACAGCGTCTCCGCGAACGCCTGGTGTCCTCCGGCGTCGGCTCTACAGAACGCAGCACCCAGGCTGGACTAGCGACGCGGCAGACCGGGGCTCGGCGGCCAGGGCAGCCACTGCATCTGCTGCCCCCGCACACAGGGAGCCACACACAGCTCTGGGCGTCTGGCTTCTCTGCTCCCGAAGCACCCCGGGGCGGAGCCGCCGTCCCCTCTCACAGCTCGGGGGCACCGGCAGCCGCTCACCCATCCGGGGTGAGGTCGGGGCAGAGCGCGCCTCCAGCGTGGGGCCGGCACAGGCACAGGCCCTGGGAATGCCCGGGTCACCACTGCTGGGGACGGTCCCGCGGCCCCCCCCCACCCGGCCTACCCGTGCTGCCGCCCTCCCGCCCGGGGTGCAGGCGCTGGGGAGACCGCGGGGCCGCGGGAAGAGCGCGCGTCCCGGGTGGGCCCTGCCGGAGGCCGAGGCCGAGGCCGAGGCGCCCCCGCTGCCGCTCGCCGGGCCAGCCCACCTGCAGGGCCAGCTCCCGGGTGCAGCTTACCCAGTCCTGAGTCCGCGCCTGCTGCCCTCCGCTCTGGGTGCTGGGCCGGCCCCAGGCCCTGCTCGGGCTCCGGAGGGGCGGGGCCTGCCGGGGCGCCTTCCCCGCGGGGCCATGAGACCAGGGCTCCCGACGGTCCATCGCCAGCCCCACAGGCCGCCGGGCTCTGGGCAAGGTCACCGCCGCTCCCTGGACCCCGGCCACGGGGGCCGCGTCAGGCTCCGGCAGCCCCTTCCAGCTCCTGGCCCTCCAGCCGGGCAGGCCTCAGGCCAGGGGGGGCCGCGGGTCCCAGGCGCGCTGCGGCCGCCCTTTCTCTCCACAGGGTCACCCCGCGCTGCCCCCTGTCCCGGGCCCAGGCTCCCCACCTGGCTCCAGCCCGCGGGGCGTGCGTCCTCCCCCGGCCGCCGCGGACCGCACAGAGGACCCCGACCAGCCCCAGAACGAAGGCCCGCGGCGCTCTCCCTCCTCCCTCCTCCCGCTCGCTGTGACCTCACCTCGACGCGGCCGCACCACACCCCAGGGGGCTCTGCGGGCGAGGCGAGGGCGGAGCGGGGCTCCGGGCACGGGTCAGGGAGGCACAGGGCGGGAGGCCGGGAGGAGCGAACGTGCGGGAGGCGGCGGCCGCGGACGGCGAAGCGGGGCGCGGGGGCACAGGACGGGGCGAAGGGGCTGAGGGTAGAGAGAGGTGCGGGGCAGCGGGTGCGCTAGCGGCATGGGGCGGGGTGGGGCGGGGGCGGGAAGGGGTGCGGGCGGGGGGCTGCGGGCGGGGGGAGGGTCCTCCCCGGGGCGCGCGGGCGAGGAGCAGCGGTGCGGCCCACCGCCGTCCCCGCGGCTCTGAGGGGGCGGAACCGAGCGCGGCGGAAGTTCCGCTGGGGCTGTCCCCGCCCCGCCCCTTCCGCTTCCGGCCTGCGCTGCGCCTGCGCTGTGGCCCGAAGGGCTGGTCGCGGCCCTGTGTGCGGTGGGGCCTGGCGCGCTCAGAGGGGCGTCCCCGCAGATGCCTCCGTGCTGCGCCTCTGGAGGGGCAACGAGGCGTAGTTCGGAGCTCGGGGGTCCCCGGCCGGAGCCCCACAGGGCCTGCGCTTGCGCCCCCCGCCCGCAGCCATTGGCCTGCAGGCTGTGTGGCCTCCGTGACCCTCCCCGTCCCCCCGCTCCGCCCCCGCGGCGTCCCCCCGCCCGCTCCCCCGCGCGGTGCCCCCACGCCCCCTGCGGCGGAACCTCCGACCGCACGTCCCCCCCGCAGCACCCCCACGGTCCCCGGGCCCGGAGGAACCACACAGCAGGGAGGGACGAGGGCCTGGGGTGCCCCAGGTTTATTAGTGTCGCATCAGCACCGTAGAACAGTCCGCGCGGTCGCCTCCGTGACAGGTCAGACTGTCCCCGAAAAGACTGTTTACATGAATCCTGTTTTCCACGTGGAAGGGAAAAGAGCCCGAGCCACACGCACGTCCTAGAGACCGAGCAGTGCGGGGAACCGAACGGTCTGCACAGACGGGGCCCCCTCGCCACAGCGCTAGGCCCCCGCCGAGGCCGGCCCGCCCGTAGACTCCTGCGCCCATGGCGGCCGGCCTGGAAGGGGGCGGGGGCCGGCATGGGCGCTCAGGCGGCTGACCCCGGGAGCGGGGGCCCCGTCTGCTAAAGAGGAACCTGCTCCAGGACAAAGGCCAGACCCTGAGAGCAGTCTGGTCTCCCACCTGGGGGCGAGGACACTGCGGCAAGGCGGTCCCGGCCGCTCCCCGCGCCGCAGCCATGACAGGGACTCAGGACACTGGCTGGCATGCCCTGAGGACACAGTGACCCAGGGGGAGAGCGCGGGAGGAGTGAGGAGGCGGTGGGACCCCACCTGGCCTGGGCCTTGCCCAGTGGTGATGGGTGGCTTGACCCTTGAGTCCCAGGTTACATCTGGTCGCCCAATGGGCTGAGAACCCTTAGTCTGAGGGGACTGCTTCTGCCTGGGACCCCGAGCCCCATGCTGACCGCTGCACTCTGGCTCCGTCACAGATGGTTTTGGCTTCTGAGTCCTCTTCCTTGGAGGGACAAAGTGCTTTTCCGTGGATCCTCAGAATAGCTCCATGAGGTAGGCAGGGGAAACAGGACCCTCCCTGTTTAGCAACTGGGGAAGCTGAGGCACAGGGTGAGCACAGCCCAGGTCTCTGAGGGAGTCACAGTGGCTGGGACTGTGTGCATGACCTCCTGGGCCTGGGGACAGTGTGGTGGGTGGGCCCCGTGGCACTTAGAACAGGACAGACTGTAGCCAGCCTCTGTAGGCCAGGGGCATAGGTGCTCCCCTGCGTGTCTGAGGACATAGCTGTGGAAGTGGACTTGGGGGGTGTGGTCCCAGCAGAGGGACACCCCCCCACCACAGCCGGAGTGGACATGACTTCCCCCACTTTGGTTCCTTTCTCTCAAGTCAGTTCTGCGGGTAGAAAGTGAAGTCAGGAGTCTCACCTGTCCCTCCTTCCTGCTGAGTCACTTTTGGAAAGGAACCTTGAGGACCAATGACCAAGGCCCTGAGGCCCAGCAGCGTGAACAGGGCAGGGAGGCTCAAGGTCCCAGGGCCTGCTTCTGAGGGTAGCTGCTGGCAGATGCCACAGGCCACCAGAGGCGCCAGGGCACAGTGGCCTGCACCCTGCCCCATCCTTCCAAGCCAGGAGCTGTCAGGGGAGGAGTCTGGGCCCTCGGGGAAGGTCTTCTGCCTGCACGCACCCCTGAGGCAGGGCCACACACAAGGCCAGACCCGTGTTCCCTTGTTCCCTAAGTAGCCCAGGGGCACTAACCGTGAGGCTGACACCCTGTATGGCCTTGCAGGAGGAAGTAAGTGGGTAGGTCACAGGGAAGAAAAATGGGCCATGGCTCATCCTCCAGGAGCAGACCTGTTGGTGCCATGGGCTGTTGGTGACGCCCGTCCTCTGGAAGGACGGGAATGTGCTGCAGCCTGCGGCCTGCCTTTGGCACTGTGTTCTGAGCATAGCCGGCGTGGCCCCCTGGGGGGCTGCCAGGGTCCCGGGGCCACAGCTGCCAAGCATGGGAACTGGTGGGCTCTTCCGTGCACGGCGGGCTGCAGGGCTGTGGGGGGAGCAGTGGGATCGGGCTGGGCTCTTGCCGCAGGTGGGAAGGCAGGGGGCGATGCTGGCCCCCAGGCTGGGACCCAAACCCACAAACTTGCTCGAGGGAGCTTGGCCCAGAGAGGCTGGGGGGAGGAGGCCAAGTGGGCTGGGGCCAGCGATGGGGGCCACTGTGCTTGCTAAATCTGGGACAGGGATGACCAGTGGAAGCATGGTGATGGCTCCAGAGTGGCCAGAGGGACAGTGAGTGGGGGGCTGGGATGTGGGACCGCACTGGCTGGCTCTGCCCCAGCCCCAGGGGCTGCTGGGACATCGGAAGAGCAGCGTCTGGTAGCTACGTTATAACATGTATTTAAAAGCATTACAAATGTCTGCTACTGTAAAACCTCCGCGGCCCCGCAAGGCTGGAGTTTATTGGGAACCACAAGTGGGCGGTGCTGGGGCGTCTCGTGGCCGCTGGACAGCTGCTCAGCCTCCATGTTCTGCTCAGGGCACTCCCGACGGGAGGCCGGCCTTCAGCGTCCAGCCACCCAGCTCTGTGCCTGCGCACACAGGCACCCGCGGATCTGTGCGGCCACCCGCCTGACCCCAGCTCCCTGAGGAAGCAGAGTCCTGGCTTTCAGGAAGGACAGGACGCGAAGGTGAGGACCCTTCTTGCTGGGGGGGCTCGGGAGGTCCTGAGGCTGGAACACACCTCGTGGTTCTCCAAGCTCAGTGCTGCCCGCCCGACCTCCCCACGCCTCCCCCGCCCCCCTGGCACATCTGGTTAATGGGCAGAGCAGTTAATGGGCTCCAGGGGTGGGGGCTCCTGGCGAGTTTCCGGGTGGAGAGCACATTCATACTAAGACTGTTTTTCTTTGTGTTTTTAAGGGTCTCTGTAGTAAACTGAAATGTTAACAGAAAAGCAGCTGGGCCCTCCCGGCGCTCGCCGTCCAGGGCTTCGGGGCAGGGCTAGCAGGCGGACTTGGAGTGTCCGAAGATGCAGATGGGGAAGTGCTTCACGTGGGAGGACCACTGGGCCGCCAGCTGGAAGAACTTCACGTCGTTCCACTCCACACCGTCGATGAGGACTGTGAGGACAAGACCACCTGACCCGCCTGCCCCCCGTGCCCCGGCTCCCCCAGGGACCCCAGGTGCCCGTGAGGCACGCGCCGGCCAGTCCTCCCACCGCCATCCACAGCCCCGCAGCCCCTGCAGGGGTGTGCTGGGTCAAACACCCTCCGCTTAAACTGGAAAAGCCACGGAGGAAGGCAGAGCCGTTCTCGACCACGGTGGTCATCAGACTCAGACTCATGAAGAGAAAACCGCTCTGGGCTCCGTTTTCTGAATTAACGAGTTGCAGAAAATCTTCTATAAAAGGTCTAAGATATAAAAATCAATCTTAAAAGAAGGGAAAGGGTTGAGAAATTCTTTCTCAGAATTGAGAAAGCTGTTCTGTGCATACACATGCTTTATCCAAGTGGGTTCGAAGCTGGCATGCGTGACACCCACTGGGCAGCAAGACGGTTTGCAGAGGTGACGTTCAGAAAGCTTCCTCTGGTTCACTTGCGCACTTTAGACAGAACCAACAGGGACTTGGGTCCAGGACCCCCTCCCGCGGGCTCCCCACGGAGGGCAGGGCCTGTGGACGAGAGACGCCCCGAGTCCCGGCCCCGGCGCTCACCCCGCAGCATGTTCTGCTGGTGCTTGGCCGTGCAGATGAGGCGGCTGATGCCCTCGATGCACTGGCTCTTGGACTCCACGTCCTTGTCCTTGGTTTTCTTGGGTAGAAACATCACTAGGAGGGAAGGGCTGCAGGGCTCAGCCATAGCCCTTGGGGCCCTGCTGACCTGAGCCGCCCACACCCCACTGAGACCACAGCCGTCAGCCCTCCCACCCGCCCAGGTAGCCTCTGCTCGCTGCTCGTGGCCGGGGTCAGAAGCGGTCCCCAGACCCGTGGCGACCTTGGGGCCTGTCTGGCCACCCTTCCAGTTCCCCCACCAGCCGGGCCACCCCCCACCTCACCCTTCTTGTTCTTCTCCTTGGTGACCACGGTCATGGACATGGTGGGCGTGGCTGCGGCCTCACCACTGCCGGGCAGCCTGCTGACCTGGAGAGACCGGAAGGTGCACTTGAGCGTGTTTTTGGTGGCGGGTAGGTCCTTCTTCTCCACCTCTCTCTTCCTGTCTGCGGGCGGAGCTGCCGTCCAGTAGTCCACCTGCAGCCCCATCAGCTCGGCACCAATGCCCTGGCTGCAAAAGCAGAGGGGGCCTCACTTCTCTGTCCTCACTCGGCGGCTGGCACAGGCCAGGGGAGGGGCCCACTGGCGCCTGGGCTGCCCGTCGCCAGGGGGCCACCAGGGTTGGGGTGGGGAGCCCCAGTCCTGGAGCCTCTGGGGACACACGGAGGTCACCCCGAGCACCTGGGCTGGCCACCCGCCTGCTCTCTCCAGCGACCCCTTCGGGTCTGGAGGGCCAAGGTCAACTAGCTCCATGGGAGGTGTGGTCCCCATGGGAGTCGGGGGCAGCCCTATGACCCTGGGGCCCACGGGGGTGGGTGGGAGGAGCTGCCGACCACCTCCCCCGCTGGCTCCCACAGCGGTTACCCACATCCCCGTCTCCCGACCCCCGTCTGCAGGCAGGGTCCCCCGTTCACTTGGTCTGTGTGGTTTCTGTCCCTAGCGCCCCCAGGACTGGGGAGGGGACAAGTCTCCCGAGCCAGCCAGGACCTGTGCCACCCCCACCCAAGGGGACGCCTGGCCCCCCGCAAGCCTGTGTCTTCCCCAGGGCTGTTCGGAGTGTCCCCTCTGGCTGAACCCTCCGCTGGCTGGCGTGGTCACAGCCCCAAGTGGTAACCGAGGCCCTGCTGCGTCAGGGGCTAACGTGAGGATGGAGTGGGGCGCCCACCTCGCATGGCCACGTTTACCTGGGGGAGGACAGGCCCCCGCTCACCGACGGGGAGGAAGGCGGGGTGGGCGAGGCCTCCTTGGCCGCGGGAGACGTGGACGGTGGGGTGGATGAGAGCACACTGGAGCCCGAGGGGGCCGCGTCATCGGAGTCACCTTTGGGAAGGAGATGGACGGTGCTGAGCTCCCCTCTGGCTCTGTCCCCAGAGCAGCAGGCGCTGCCAGGTCTCCCACGGTGGGCGTCCCTCCCCTTTCCAGCCCTGAGGGCAGGGGCACGGGGTTACCTGACGTGGCTGAGGACGGTTCCACTATTCCAACTTTCACCACCTGTAACGCAGTGGGATGCAGGCTGGCGGCCGCGTGCTGAGTTGCCGCCCTCCCGCCTGTGCACCAGGGTCCAAACACACCGAGGACGGTCTCCCTGCGGGCGCCCGCCTGCCATGCCCCGCCCTCTGGGGGGCTCCTGGGCTGGAGCAGGGCCCTAGTTCTTCCCGTCCTTGGAGCCGAGGTGAGCCCAGGGTGGCCTGGGCTCCTCCCACTGCCGTGGCTGCCCCCTCCGAGGTCAGCCTGCACCCTGGGGAGGGGGCACGGGGCCCACACTCTGGCCCTCCACAAACCCTGAGCCTGCGGCTGGCCTGGTGTGGGGTGAGGGACCCCTGCCCTGCTCGGGGCCTGCACCAGGCGCCAAGCGGGCTGATGGGCGTGCGAGCCACGCAAAATTAAACCAGTAAAGTGACGACTTCTGTCGCAGTCACTTGGGTGCTTCCAGCGTCCACAGGGTTTGGCACTGCCCCCATCCAGTGGGTCAGAAGTTCCCCTGAGACAGGTGCCCCCGCACTAACTCCATCCCGGGAGGGCCACTAGCTGCTCTGACGGCTGGCCAGGGTCAGCGATGGCATGGACACCGTGCTCTGCCTGGGGGCCCCGATGGCCAGGCTGCCTGTGGCCCCCACAGCGAGCTTCCGGGCTCTGGAGACTTGTGGCCGTGGCCCAGCTGGCAGGGAGCAGCCATGGGAGAAAGACAAACCTCCCAATTTACAAGTCACACCCCCGGCTGAGCAGGCTGGCACGGGAGGCACCCCTTCCTCTCCTGTAATTCCCAAGGGACAGAAGCACCCCTTTGCCCCATCCCCGTAGGACCGGTCCCAAGACCCTGCTGACCCGGGCGCCCACCCACAGCCGAGTCTGACCCAGCCCGTGTGCCCAGGACGTGCTGAGCACGGAGCCCTCGCCTCCAGGAGAGCTGTCTGCTTGCGCCAAGCAGAGCTGGGAGCAGTGACCACCTCTGGGCCCAGCCCTGCTCAACGTGGGAAACAAACAATGAGCGACGAGCTTTAACATGGGGGGTGACTTAAGGAGTCCTTCCCTCAAACTGGCAAAGAAGGTTCTGGAACACATCAAGTTAATGCAAGCGCTATAAAAGCTTGGCAAGTGGGTCGTCCCCACGTGAGTGAAGCCACATGGGAGGGAAGCCTCGGGGAAGGCCAAAGGCGCACTGGAGCAGTACTCACCCCTACGAAAGGAATGAACTTTTGAGAGGACTCCTCGTCAGGGCTGAGAACGAGAAACAGGAGCCGGTCAGCCACCGCTCACTCCGCCAGGCAGGCAGCAACGCCCCGCCCACTCCCGTCCCCGCAGCGCCCGGCCCTGCCCTCCGGCCCTGGGCTCAGCTCTCTGCAGCGGGGGACCAGAGGCCTGTGGGGAGCCGTGCTCGAGCCCAGCTTCTCCGCCCGCTAACCCTGCAGGCCTCCGTTTCCACTCGGCCCCAAGACGACTGCTTGCAGCATGTGCCCCAGGACCCCCGGGACCCCCAGCGTGTGGGGCTGACTGAAAGCCAGGCTGCGGAGTTTCTCTAGTCTTCGGCAGGCTAGGTGACGTCTGTGCCGGCCAGAGGGATGGGGCAGGGGCGGTCCCCAGGTCTCCGTCCTCGGGCACGGGGTGCACACGCCAAGCCCTGGCAGAGCACCACCCCAAGGGCAGCCTCAAGGTGACACGGAGTCTCCGGGGTCGTGCTGCTTGGTGGAGGCCAGCCAGCACGGCGGCCGTGAGGTTCTGTTGGACTGGGCCCCGCGGGTCTTCCAGCCAACCCTCGGCTCCCCTGCGATCGCCGGCGAAGGCCTGCGTGTCAGAGGCCCTTGGAGGTGGGGGATGAGGGCCTGCCGCTCATCTCTGCAGATGGCCACATGGTCTCCGCCACAGGGCCCGGCCGCTCGGGCACCAGGCTCCCCTGCTCCTGACCCTTGGGAGAACCTACCAGGCAGGGACAGTGCTGGGTCCCCCGGGACCTCAGAGAAGGGAGATGCCTGCTTGCCCAGCCTCCCCAGCTCCCAGGCCGTCCTCCCAGCTCTGCCTCTTCCGCCTCCTGCCCCGAACATCAGAGCTGACGTCACAGAGCAGACCTTCTGCAGGCGGCTTTGCATGGGCTCTGGGGTGCCCACCTGCTGGCTGCCATGGTGCCCCCCAGGCACAGGGCTGTTTGGGGAGAAGCCTGGGCAGCACCCCCACCCAAGGGCCGGCAGCAGCCCCCGCCCTGCTCTTGTGGGGATGGAGACGGGCAGCCGGCCAGCGCGCCCCACCAAGTGTGCATGGGCCGGCACAGATGGCACCTGGCACCCAAGGCCAGTGCGAGCAGGAGGCGCTGTCCTCGCCCTGAGGCTCAGCACCTGCCTGAGGGGAGGCGGCAGGCAGGCTCCTGGGTGCCCCCTGGACAGGGGCCCCTGGCCTCTGAGCTAGCACCGCCCACCACACCTCCGGGGAAGACGTGGGTAATGTCTTTGGATGGAACAACCTACAGATGAGGGCCATCCCGCTGAAGACGGCCGGATGCTCGGCCACTCCGACCCGAGGGGACAGAGCGTATCCCCGGGTAACACAGCAGTTCGAACCCTATGCCAGGCCCGCTGGCGCATGCGAGCTCCTCGGGCGGCCCCCAGCCCAGGGCAGGGGGAATCCCACCCACAGGGCTCCCGGACCCTCCCCACAAGCAGCACGCAGGGAGGCGGACGAGGGCCTGGAGGGGCCGCCAGGAGATGCCACCACACAGGGACGCTGCGGGGTCTGAGCCGCCAAGCCGAGCCTCTGGCCATGCAGACAACATTCAGCACGTGACACGCGCCAGCGGGACAGGGGTGACACCGGCTTGCCACTGAGGCCTTGCCACCTACACTCCGGACCTGTTCTGGGTGGGACAGAGGTCGGGACTCCTCAGGCTCCCATGTGTGGCTCCGTGGTGGGGACCCTGCACCCCTGGCTCATGAGACCACATGGGGGAAGCACAGGTGTATCTCAGCTCGTCACTGGGGGCGTCGAGCCGGGGTGCAGAGGATGCTGTCCCTGGACGTGCTCCCGGGAGCTGTTGGGGCTCCGCGCAGCAGGTATGGGTCTGAGGGCAGGCTGGGAGTTGTGTGCAGTGTAGACCCTGTCTGCAGGTGCTCTCAAGGGGCAGGAAAAGATGCGGCCCTGAGGGCCAAGTCCACTGCCCACCGTCTCCTAGGTTTCCTGAGCCCTCTGTCCTCTGTCCCAGACAACAGAGGCTACCTGCTGACCTGTTCCAGGCTCTAAGGGTGGCCAGCACGCTGGGCCTCCCTGGGGCCCCATCCCGGGTGCTGGTGTCACCACTGTGACGCGGAGGTGGGGGCAGGGACACAGGACGAGGGCCAGGGTCCCCTAAGCCCTGTCTGGGGAGACGAGAGGCTGGTGCCAGGCAGCAAGCAGGCTGCGGGTGTCCACGGCATGACCCCCCGGGGCGGCTGGAGCAGTCACGGGCACACCACGGCTGGTCTTTCTTTAGCTCACAAAGGCTCATTTAGCAGGACCATGAAAGAACGCAGACCCTTCCTCCTAATGTGTCCAGCAAGGAGGCTGCCGGGGGCCCAGAGACCATGGGCTGGTGGGCTTTCCCAGGAGAGAAAGAACCCAAGACACAGAGTGGAACAACTCCCTGGTGGGGGCCCGACACATAGGCCACCAGGACAGGCAAGGGGAGCCCCCCAAAAAGGGCAGCCCTGAAGCGTGGCTCCAGAGTGCGGGTTTTGAAGGGGGAGCCACGCGGGGTGAAAGCCCTTCACTGAACGTGGGGGTCATGGCAGCTTAGCCACTGCCCAGCTGGGAACCGCTCTGTGCCACTCTCCGCAACCCGGGGCGCAGGGCCCACAGCCAGGCTCAGAGCGCGCGCCATCCGGGCAGGTACCCCGCCTGTGGCCTGCACACCCCCACGTGCAGAAGCAGCCGCAGTGCGGCTCTCCCAGGGTGCTGAGCCCGTGAGTCGGGTCGGCAGACACGCTGTGCTGGGACGAAAGTCCACACGCAGCCCGCGTGGCATCAGCGGCCCAGCCACCTGCTTCTACTGCAGGACGTGGTGCCCAGGCCTCAGCACAGACCCCGTGGACGGGCTCCACTGGGCGCTGCTGCCAGTGGCACCCTGGGCTGCAGCGCAAGGAGGACAGCCTGCCCGCCGCGACGTCAGCCCACGGTGCTCCGCGCTCCTCCGAGCTGGGCGGGGATGGAGAGCCAAGTCCCGGCTTGGGGTGCCCACCCACCTGCCGCTCGGCCGGGGGACCCTGCCTGACGGGTGGCAGGATACGGGACGCCCCCTGTGGCTCTTACTGCTAAACAGCCCTAAAGACCAGCACGGGGACACGGGCGCAGACCCAGGGACAGCGGTACCTGAGGGTAAAGTCAAAGTGAAAGTTCTTTTTCCTTTTCGGAAAGCCACCAAAAGAGAAAACACAGACACGTTACCACGTGCTCAGCAGCTCGTCCAGCTCACGTGGGAAGAGCCCAGCGCTGTGAGCCAGGCGGCCACTGCGGGTTCCCATCTCGTGCGGGGAGAGCCACGAGTGTCCCGCACACGGGACCCCAGACGCTTCTCTTCCGACCAGCCGAAGGCTTGGCTCTTCGGCTCACCTCCCGGGGGGCCACTGCCCTTGCGGGCCTGGCAGCCAGACCTCTGCCTGGCCGCAGCTGTGGCCCCCGCTCCTGCCCGCCATCCTGCCCGCTATCGTGCCCAGGGTCAGGCCGAGAACATGGGAAGCCTGGGAGGCTGAAGCGGCCTGGGCCTGCATTCCCAGAGCAGGTCGCGGCCAGGACAGGGCCATGTGACAGGTGTTCCCTTGCCCTTTGCCATGGGAAATCCCAGCATACTGCGGAGAGGAATCCTGACGCGACTCCTTCTGACTAACTCAGAGGAGACCTGGGGCTGCCAGGCCGTTCCCTCCCAAGCCCTGTTCAGGTTCAGTCCCTTGGCCAACCAGGTGTGCCCCTGCTGACCGTGCTGCCTGAAGGCTCGGAGACCAGAGCAGGTAGGGAGGCCTATGGGGGGAACGGTGGCTGCGGGCAGCCCGTGTCTGTGGCATGGAGCGGGGGCCCCTCCCCTTTCCCTGCACCCTGCCCTGCCCGTGGCCCAGCGAGGTACCTCTTCTGCTTATAGGTCAGCATGGCCTCCGCGATGGGCAGCTGGTGTGCACAGTTGGCGCCTGCGATGTACTGTGTGATCCTCGACACGATGTCCGGCGTGTCCTGCACTGCACGAGAAGGCCGGGCAGGGTCCATGGGGGGCCACACTCCCCTTCTACCCCGTGTGCTGCCCCCGGGGCTGCCGGTTCCCAGCCCAGGAGCAGTGGCAGCACTGGGGCCGGCTGAAGGACCTTCTGCCCTCACGGCGTCTCCAAGTCCCTGGGAGCCCTTCGCCAGGGGCCCCCACGGCCAGCCCACTCTGAGGCCCACGACAGTCAGTGGGGAGCACCGGGCAGAGGCCCCACGTCTCCCCAGGGAGGCCCCACCCGGCCGGGGCCCCAGGCCTCACCGGCGCTCTGGGCCTCCAGCTTGTTGAACAGGTCTCTCCAGGCCAGGTCCTGGAAGAAGTTGTTGTAGCGGTAGTCCACGGAGCCCAGGTACCGGGCCACAGGGTGGGAGCCTGCGAGCCGAGGGGAGGCCATCAGGCCACATGGGCCGCTCGGTGACCCTCAGAGCCCTGCCCCACTCCCGGGGGGTGCAGGAGCCACTGCGGACTGTGCGCGGGGCCGGCGAGCCTCCCCCCAGGACCCGGCGCCCCCAGGGACCGACAGGGTGAGCCCACGGACACGGAGCCACATCCCACGGGCTTGGATCGTGTTGGGACTCGCACGCAGCCCTGCCTCACTTCCCAGGTCGGCACCGGGGAGCCCGGCGCCCCCGCCCCTCACCCAGCGGGATGACGAGAAAGCGCATGTAGCCCAGCCAGTCGGGGGTCTTGTGGGACAGCTGCTCCACGAAGAGCCGCAGCACGGCACTGAGGTAGTGCTGCGCCCCGGCCACGGCGATCTTCACGGGCGTCGGTGGCTGCGAGTTGCAGTTGCAGCTGCGGCCCCACGGGCGGGACAGAGGGGACGGATGCCTCAGGGACCCATCCCCGCTGCCAGGACCACCCCGCGCGCCTAAGCGGCCCCTGGGCAAGGAAGGGCTGAGCCCCGGGCCACGACGGCCCACTCATGACCCCGAGATGGCCACCAACACCCAGGTCGTCCCCCCACCCGACCACCCAGACCTGGACAGAAGACAGGGCTGCCAGCGGCTGTGTGCAGGCTCCGCCGGATTCCGCCCCCGCCCCCGCCCCCGGGACAGAGCCACGGGCGCAGCCGCAGCGGGCCGGGCGGACTCACTATCTCTGGATCCTCGAGACAATGGTGCTGAAGGCCGCCTGGACGTCCGCCGCAGAGCAGGTGCACACCACGGGGAGCGCGTGCCTCTGCAGGACCTCTGACAGGAACTGCAGGCGAGGAGGGCACGGCCTGGGCCCCAACGCTGCCCCCAGCCGCCCACCAGCACCGCACCCCCACCCCTGCTGCGGGGACGGCATCCCCACCCCCCCATTCCCACCGCAGGGAGGACACCCGGACCGTCCCCACCTGCCCCTGCCAGTCGGAGGTGTTGACGAGAATGATGTTCTCAGGAAGCTGGTCATCAGAGATGAGGATGTGGTTTAACTGGTCATACACGGTCTTCCTGGGGATCTGGAGACACAAGGACCCCGCGCTGGTGGGAGGTGTGCTGCAGCCCCTCAGCCGCCCAGCTGACCCCTCCTGCTCCCCAGCGGTGGGCAGGAGAGGCCGGCCCCGTCCTCGCTCAGGAACTCGGCTTTGCACTGGACAGCGGTCACTGGGCCAAAGACCCTGAGGGACCGTCACAGCCCACGAGGTGGCCAGGCTGCCGTCCCCCGGAGCCAGCAGCACTGGGTCGGTCCTGGGCAGCTGTGGCCTCTGCCCGTGCGCCTCCCGGAGTGCACACCTGCAGCTGGCTCCTCGTGTCTGGGCACCGCTCGTTGTCCAGACTGTTGGCCCGCTCATTCTGCGGCCTCGCGGGCTGCCGCTCCTTCAGGGACGTGCTCCGACCCCGGCGGCCGGCCTGCTTCCCCTCAGACCTGCAAGGAAGCAGCATAGGCTGGGGCCAGCCCATGTGCTCACCAACCCAGGGAAGGGGACTGCTCGGTGGCGGGGGCCGTGGCGGACTCACACAGGCTGGCAGGGCAGGGGGCAGGCAGTGCGAGGGGCCCACGTGGCAGCCACGCCCACACTTGGCACAGGCGCTTTTTCTGTGGCATAAGGCCCGACACAAAAGGCGTGTGCTGGCTGTGCAGAGCCACGGCCCCAAGAAGGGGGCTCTGCCTCGGGAAGGTCCCAGCCCCGTGGGTCTTGGGGCAGGAACGCAGGGCCTGGCAGCAGTGGCAGCACGTGGCCATGTGTGGTGGCCCAGAGGGTGTGGCCAGGTGCCCAAGGAAGGTGACGATGGGACAGGCCGGAGAGCACGTCCCAGGGAGGGGATCCGAGGTGACCCGTGGACGGACCAAGATGGCAGTGGGGGCAGGTAAGAGACGCTGAGGGAGTGTCCTCCACTGGGAAGCTGCCTGAGTCCCTGCCACTCAGAGCCCCCACCTCCATGACGCCCACCGTAGGGGCAGGGTCCCAGCCCCACAGAGCTGCCACGGCAGACCCAGCACCACCACTGCCTGGGGGCTGCCACACCAACCACACCAGGCTCTGGGCCCAGCTGGGCACGCCCCCTCCACACCGGCACCCAGGGCTACGCCGGTCCACAGGAGCCACACCTCAGCCCCAGAAGGCCTGCTGGCAGCTGCTACAAACACGGGGTGGGGTCCCAAGTGGCTCTCTGGGGTGGGCCCCGAAACCTCCATGCCTCTAAGTGATTCCCATGCAGTCAGATGGGGCCCACCCCCCACACTGGCCCATGTGTACAGTACCTGCCCAACCACCTCCCCAGGGCATCCCGTCACCTGGTGGAGGGGAGGACGAGGGACTCCGTCTTGGTGATGCGCCCGCTGGGCGGCAGCTTCTCGGCAAACACGTCCAGAGCGGAGGTCTCTGCCTCTGGGCTGTCCTCAGGCTGTGCTGGCTGCTCCCCAGGGGCGGGCGTGCTCTGAGATGCAGAGAAGGGGGCCTGATGGCAAAGCACATCCTACAGGGCCCTCCTCTTGAGGCCACAGTCTCAGGCCCGAGGAGCCCCTAGTTTGGGTGGGGGGTGTGGGCTGGTTTCAGGCCAACAGCTCTCCACATGGGGCATAGACACACCTCCCCCCAGGGAGCTGAGCCGACCTCCATTCCCACCCACGGGGCTCCTGGCCCTGGCTGCTAGGGGAGCCCAGCACTAAGCCTCCCGCGAACCTGCCCGCAGCCCAGGACCCTGTCCCTGGGAACCTCACGAGGGCAGAGACAACCGGAACATTCACAGAGCCTGTGCTGACAGCAAAGCAGGGGGACACCCCCATCCTCCTGGAACTAGGGTGACTCCGGGGGACCCTGACCGTCCCTCGGGGTGGGGACGAGCCCAGGGGCACCCTCACTTTGGTTCTGTGCCCTGGTCCTGGGAGACGTGGGCTCAGGACCCTAGAGGCAGTGGGTCAGCGGCTCTGGGCTTGACCCAGGGCACGAGCCCACGCCTACTCACATGGGTCACCGTGTCAGAGGCGCTGTCGCTGGGCTGCTTGCCTCCCAGGGCCCGGGTCTTCTCAGGCATGTCAGCCTGTGAGGACAAGATGGGAATCAGGCGTTGAGCACGAGGCTGGGGCCACACAGACCAGGAGCCCAGGGTCAGGCCGTGCACAAGCTCCCCTCGGAGCGACCCAGGGAGACAGCTGCCCCTGCCTGAGGCCCCATTGGGAGAGAGGGCTGCCACGTCTGCTCACCGGACTTGGAGGCTCCTTGTGGCTCCGGACGCTGTGGAGGCTCCCGATCTCTGTCTGCGAGCTGGAGTGCGACAGCCCTTCGAAGTAGGGCCTGGGTGCGGGGTGGACAGAGATCACCCTTCAGGGCCCTCCCCACCCTGAAGGTCCGGCTCCCGTGCTCCTGGGATCCGGCAGCCACGCAGAGCTGGGGGTGCTGGGCGGTGGCCGGGGAACGATGGCCCCGGGGAGGACCCTGAGTGCTGGCCACCCGCAGCCCTTCTTGGCACCTCCACCCGCTCAGACGCCCGCTGGAGACGACCTGCATCCCTGAAACCCACCCACTCCCAGCCTTCTCCCCAGGAAGGGTGGCTGGTGGCATGGGGGTGCGGGGGAGCCTCAGGCCCCACGGCCAGCTCGCAGGAGCACAACAGCACGCCTGAGACCGCCACAAGGTTGCCATCAGCAGGCCGCAGCGACCCAGGCCAGCAAGTCCACACCCCCAACCCTGCAAGACGGCAGGGCAGAGTCAAGGGAGCTCAGACACTCAGAGCACAGCGCAGGCTGAAATGGTGGGTGTGGTGTGTGCCACCTGGGGACAGGGAAATGCACGGGCGGGACCAGGCCCCGAGACGCCCACGCACAGCCCCGCGACTGGGAATAGCGGTGGCCCGCGACGGGCTCTGCAGGGCAGCCACCGGCGAGGGTGACCACGAGTCACAGAAGCAGAGACCGGCCCAGCTGAAGGCGGCACAGCCCAAAGCGCCATGGCAGCCTTGCCGGCTCTGCTGGGGGGGGGGTGCCACAGGCACGGCGGCGTGTGGTGGGCGGAGACTGTTAGCATCTGCAGCAAAGGCCAACGGCTGAGACCTAGACCAGCACCCACAGATGCCACAGGCATGCCCACTACGGGACTGGCCATGGTGGGGCGGCTGGAGGCCAACTGCACAGAAAGCCCGCCCTCCCCATGTGCATCTCTGTCCCACTGACTCGGATCGAAAGGTTAAGGGGTGTCTGGGGGGCTCAGTCGGGAAGCGTCTGCCTTTGCTCAGGTCATGGTCCCAGGGTCCTGGGACTGAGCCCTGCATTGGGCTTTCTGCTCAGCGCGGAGTCTGCTTCCCCCTCCCCTGTCCCCCACTCCCGCTCGTGTGTGTGTGCACTCCCCCTCACATTAAAAAAAAACAAAACAAAACATTAAAAGCAAAACTAGAAAGCCACAGATCTTCGGGACTCCAATACGGCCCCCACTCAGCAGCCACACACTGTTGGGGCCCGTGGCCAAGCCTCCCCTGACCCCAAGCCTGGGGCCTCCTGTGGTCTCCTGCCCCAGCCAGGCTGACACCGGGCTCCTCAGGGACCAGCACTAGCACTGCTCACCCGCCCCTCCCACCTGTGCAACAGGGACACTCTGCAGTCCCCCATCTCCCCAGTGAAGAGAAGAGTTCCATGGCCTCATGCCTGCCAGCCCTGCCGGCCCCCTCCTGTGTCAGGTGCCTCGCTCAGCCCCGCCGGGGCCGTGAGGAAGCTCCTGACCACCTTCCCCACCCAGAGCTCTCGCCGCTCCATCTCTGACACCATGACCTCTTGCAGGGACGACCCCAATGCCTGCTAACGGGTCTCCTGTCTTCCCGCTCCCAGTGGGTTCCAGAGAGATCTTTCCAGAATGCAGGCATGACCCTGCCACTTTGCTACTTCTCTTCCTCCGAAACACTGCAAACCGGGCTGTCTGCTAGGATGCACGTCTCCCTTCCTCCCTGACCCAGAGCCCACGTCCCAAGTGCATGCTGCCTGAGGCTCCTGCGACACGGGATGGCAGGGGTGTGCCCGCCGGGGCCTGGGGCCGGGAGCAGACAGAGGCGGTATGTGTGCTCACCTGAGTTTTGGCTTGGGGGTGCTGAGGACACTGTCATCATCCTCCAGGTCCGGGCCACTGTCGCTGGGGTTTTCCATGTCCAACGTGTCATACAGGAGGTCCAGGTCCTCCTCTGCCTCGGGGACATGGTCTGCAGGGTCCTGCTCCGAATCCAGGACCTACGGTGAGACCAGACGTGGGAGGGCAGGCTGGCGGGGGGGGCATCCCCTTGGCAGGACAGACAGGAAGATGGCACAGAGCCACCAAGTGCCCTCTCTCCAGCACATGCCCCCAGCACAGTTCTGCCAGACACTGGGGTGACCCCTGGGACCTCCGGTCACCGGGTGCCGGGCATAGCACGGCCATTCTGCCCTTGTGGCTCGTGCTTCAACAGAGAAACGCACAGCAGGAAGGCAGGGCAGGGAGTGCCTCCTGGGACAGGCCCGCACGGTGGTCAGGGCTTGGAAGGCCTCCCTCCCCAGGGGCTCCCCACCCTCTCTCTGCTCCCTCCTCCCAACCCTGAACTGACTTCTGTCCCCACGTGTGGGCTTCCCCCAGAACGCCATGGAAGCAGTTACACAGTGTGCAGCCCTCGGCATGGGGCTCTGCCCACTCGGGCAGCTGTATCCAGGTGTCTGTGCTGTTTGCCTCCAGCAACGTCCTCGTCACTGCCTGCCCATCCTTGAATGCGGCCTAGGCCTAGCTGGCCGCCAGCGGATAAGAGACTCCAGGCTTTGCTGCTGCAGACAAAGCTCCTGGGACTGTCCGCCCCTCAGTCTTCGTGTGGACATCCTGGATCTTATGGGCTGATACCAGGTGTGGGATGGCCGGCGGGATCGATCGGCCGGCGGGATGGCTGGTGGAGGGTCAAGTGGACACTCAGAGGAGCGGCTCGGCTGTGTTCTGCAGCGGCTGCCCTGTAGCCGTCGCGGTCGGCACTGTGGTCCGGCTGCTCCCCACAGGTCAGCACCTCTGCACGCCATCCTGTGAGGTCACGGCGACCCTCTGCAGCCTCGGGAGGTCGCCTCGCAGCTTCTCGGGGCTTCCTGGCTATTCAGGTTCCTGCTCAGAGAAAACCTCTAGTCCGAGCCTTTGACCGACCCTTGCGCCAGACCGTTAACTTCTCGTCAGGAGTGTCTGTCTGTGGCTGTGAGGCCTCCGGTCTGGCGGGCACAGCTCCCTTACGGGTCTACAACTTGTAAATACCCTTGCGGTGACGGCCGCCGGTTCATCTTCCTGCTGGGAGTTCAGAGCACAGAAGCGTCCGTGTTTGGATGAGGATGGACTCGCCCGGCTCCCCTGGTGGCCTGTGCGTCTGGTGTCCTGTCTAAGCCCCACGGCCCGGGCCCTGCAGCCAAGATCACTCTCCTGAGTTTCCCGGTGCAGGCACTTACATGTAGGTCTCTGACCCACAGGGGCTAATTCTGCACACGGTGTGAGGTCCTCTCGCGTGTGGACATCTGGCTGTGCCGTCACTAGCTGCCCAAAGGCCTCCCCTCCCCCACTGAGTGGTCCTGGCATCCTTGTTGGAAATGCACTTCCGGTCTCTCATGTGCTCTCGGTTCCTGTACCGCTTAGAAAGTTGCGCGGTTAGAAAGTGTGAGTCCTCCCACTGTACTTTCCCAAGACTTGTTTATTGCGGGTCCCCCGCATTTCCACGCAAGTCCGGGGACGAGCTGGTCCGCAGACAGGCAGCTGGGGGTCTCACAGGGATCCTACAGAAGCTGCGGACGATCTGGAGAAACTGAAGCTGAGGCAGTCGGAGAAGAGCCGCCACGCCCACGGAGAGCTTCAGGCGTGTGGATGAGCGGCCGTCGCTTCCCTCGCAGCCACGACCACGCGTGGCGGTGACACACGCACACTCACACGCCACCGCTCCCGGGCAGCTCTAGGACCCTGGACTAACTCTCCTCTGCCCAAGTTAAAAAGGAAACGAGTTAAAAAGTGTCTCTCCTGTAGTTGTAAGAGCTGCTCGAGCCCCTCCTGGCACATCTGGGGAGCAGCAAGCAGCTAGCGGAAGGAAGCCGCGGGACGGAGCACGTCGGCCGTGGGGCACGTGGGAACTAACTGAGAACGGCCCCAAAATACCCTCAGAACACAAACGCATGGTCACGCCGCTGAGCTACACCCAGCCCCCGCCGAGCCGTTCGCGGGGCTATGATTCCAGACACGGGTGGGCGGCCTCAGCCCTGGCCTTGAGGTGCCCCAGGGGTGGGATGGCCCGCTCTCGTGGACAAGGACACGGTGCCTGGGGGCCGCGGGACAGGCATCGGCGGAGCCAGGATGAGGCCCCGGTGCCCCAGGACCCTGGTCACTCACCTCATCCGACACTTTGAACCTCCGCAGCAATGCCACGACCTTCTGCTTGAAGTTTTGTTGCTGCGAGACAAGCAGGACAGACTCAGAACCCAAGGGGGCAGCCCCCCTCAGAGGACACGCAGGCGCGGCGGCAGGGAAGCCTGGCCCTCCACAGCCCATGGTGCCGGCCCCTTCCCCAGCGTCTGACACACAGCTGGGGCTGGGCCCAGACCCAGGGGGAGCGGAGGATGGGCGAGCATCATCTCCCTCCAAGGCCTCCGAGTGGGCAAGGCTGCCGGCCCCTCCCAAGGCCCCACCTGGCCCCAGCAGCGCCAGGAGCGGACGGGGAAGGTGGGCTCAGCAGGGAGCCGGAGCGTGGCCCTGGGCCTCCGAGGCTGGAGCCAGCGGGTGAGGCAGCCGCCCCCGCCACCCTCAGGGTGTGTCCCCAGAAAGGAGCCCCACACAGCCCTGCACGGGCATCAGGGCTCTGGACCCAGAACCGAGGCTCCCAGAGGGGCTGGCACACTGCCCTGCCACACGGGGACCAGGCCCGGGCCTGCCAGCAGAGGGGCGGGGGCCTCTGGGGCTGAGCTTGCGTCCCACGGGATCCGTGGCTGCCAGTGTGCAGCCCAGGCCGCGCCCGTGCACACAGGGCAGCTTGGCTCTGGGAATCCCCCAGGGCTCTGTGCCCAGTGGTGGGCGTCTCATGATGGCCTAAGGCCTCTGCCTGGAGGAGAAGCGGGACGGCCTCGCCGAAGCCCGCGGGCCACTGTGCCTGCCGCGTGGCTCAGGTGCTGAGCGCAGAAACGAGGGACTGGCCTCGAACGGCGTGTCTGGGCACACACGGGACAGGGACAGCCTCCCCAGCTCTGCTCGTGGAGCGGCCTGAGCAGGTCAGCTGTCAACCTCCCCTCATACCCGGCCCCCTGGACCAGGGGCGGCTGCCCGGGATAAGCACGAGGACCCCTCCAGTGGCACTCCCACGGACGATGGCCAGCGCCTCGTGGCCCGCCTGCTGGCACAAGGCCGTGGAGTCTCCCCGCCTTCACGCCTCACCAAAGAGGCCAGGCCATGGGGATCCCGGACGGCTGCCTCCCATCCCAACCCCCACACGGGGCCCCCAGCCCCCAGCCCCCCTTTCCCCAGTGTTAGTAAAACCAGTTTCCACCGACCCTGGTCATGGACGCCGTTCTTACTATCGATCGCCGCTGCTTCTTGGGTTTCCCCACATCAAAGTCCTCCTCATCCAAGTCCTGGGGACACAAGCATAGGGCTGGCAAGGGCACCCCCAGAGCAGTTGGTGGGTGTGCGGCAGGACCCACCCCAGGACGGGAAACGTGTGCCAGCAGCACACGGGGCCGGCTCCCGGCCTCTATCTCCCCTCCCTCACGCTGGCAGCTCGGGGGCCCCTGGCCGTCCACACCAGGCCCAGCTTACCTGCCCTTGTACGGCATCGTCACTGGCCTCCTGCTCAGAGGAGAAGCTCTCGTACTCTTCCTCGGAGTAGTTATCTATGGAACAAGCACGCGGAAGGGGGGGCACACGGAGGTTCCGACCGGTGTCCCAGCAATGAGGCGGGGCCCAGAGCTCGGGGCCCCTGGACCCACGGGGAGCTGTGCGCAGTCCCCGCCCCCAGGTGGACTTCAGCGGTGAGCAGGCCTGCACTTCCCCACTCCCACGGTGGCCCCTGTGGACTTCAGATGCTTCAGCCTAGATTTCTTGCCCGACTGGGTCCCCTGCGTGCCCTCCCATACCTCAGGGGACAGCGGCCGCCATTGTGACGGGGGCGACAGCCATGCCAGGACCTGTTCCCGACCTTGGAAGGCACCGCGGTCAAGCCCAGACTTGCCAGCGGCTGAGCTCACGCGCCTGCGGCCCAGGCTCCCGGGGCGGCCACAGTGCTGTGGCGGGGCTGGAGGCCAGACACAACCTGGGCCTCCCCGGCTTCTCCAGCCCGGGAGGCGGGGGCCACCGGCAGCTGCACTCACCTGCAGACTTGGCCTTGGGCCCCGCCTGCATGGCGCTGTCCTCGTGGTCGATGGGCTGGCTGGACAGTGAGAAGATCCAGATCTCGGCCACCTTGACTGAGGCCTCCTTGAGGCTGCTGCAGAGGCTGAGCACCTGGCCGCCCTCGGAGGGGTGCTGCATCACCTGGGGGCGGGGCTCGGTGCTAGAAAGGGCCATGGGGCAGGGCCAGCAGATGGGGGTGGGAGGGCGGTGGGAGACACGTCCGTGGGGCAGGAGGACACTGGCCGAGACTCTAGGGGTCAGTGCCAGGCTCAGCCACCAGGGAGGGAGGGTCTGTCCAGAGGCTGCGGTAGGAGCAGACTGGTGTGAGGCTGTGACTCTGGGCCACTAGGCCCCAGGATCTGTGTCCAGGGACCCGTGCCCATGGGGCACCCAGGAGGACCAGCCACCAGCATGGGCTGGGGATCTTGAGTGGCAAAGCCGTCCCGGTCATGAGAGATTGCAGCTGACCAGGGACAGGCTCACACACTGCGCAGCACCCCCTGCGCCCTGCCCGGTGACATCCCTGAGGACGCCCCTGCAGGTTGGACCTTCTGCCTTGGGGCTCACTGGACCAAATCCAGGAGTCGGAATTTTAGGATCCAATTATGTTTAATTTGGGGAGACTGACCTGGGTGCCAACTCTTGAGTGCGGACATGAAATTTCTGGGAAAGGTAATGTCCATGACCGCTACCATCTCAGAAACCAAGCCAGGAAGGTTAGCCAGCACCCAGATGTGCCCCCGGGCCCACGCGTGCGCAGCCGGACAGATAGGTGCCCGGCCTCCCTCCGCACAACCCCACACCGGTGCCGCCTGCCTGGAGGGACGCGGTCGGGAGTGTTAGGCAGGTAGGGTCTGAGGGGAAACAGGAGGCCTGTGGCCTCAACCAGGTGCTGTGGGCATGGGGCTCCTGGGCCAGAGGAGCAGGGCAGGGGCGGGGGTCGGCCCTGCCCTCCCCCAGCTGGGCAGCGACACAGCTTCGCGTCGCAGTTGCCTGGACAGCCCTGAACACGGCCTCATGCAGTAAAGGCCGAAGCACAGAGGCCACGAGGGTTTCGGCCGCCCTCCTTCAAGGTCCACTCCAAGGCTCCCAAAGGCCCCGTGGCAGGCAGTGGCAGAGTCGGAACCCCTCCTCCCGAGCCCCACGCAACCGCGCCTTGGGACCCCAGGTCCTCTGAGACACAGCCGCGGCAGCCGGTTGGTTCCATTTGCATGAACGTCCCCTCCTTTCCTCCCCAGGGCTTCCTTACGCTCGCATCCCATCCCCCACCAGCAAGCACGTGCCGCCCACCCAGGCAGCCCACGGGCTAGGGCCGTGCCCACGGAAGGGGACGCAGATGTCCCAGAGGACACGCTCCCTGGGAGGGCACAGGACGGACCCACACTGGGCCAGAACACACCCACGGCCAAAGGGCAGCCGCTTGGACCGTGGGGTCAGGCCGGACGGAGACCTCTGGCTGGGCAGGGACGCGCTCACCTCGGCCATGTTGATGGAGCCTGCCGCCAGCGTCTTGTAGCCCAGGATCGTTCGGTTCTTATACCGTTTCCTCCGCTGCAGCATGACCTGGAGCTTGTTGCCTTCTCTCTTCAGGAAGTGAGGGTACTGCAGAGAAGGGGGTCACGGCTGCCATCCGTCCCTGCGGCCACGCTTGCCCAGCACCAGTAGGCCTTGGGGGCTGTCATGGGCCTCCGCCAGGGACACGGGAAAACCACCGCTGGCAGACGTGAGCAGCTGGCCAGGGCCTCTGGGTCATGAGCAGGGTCAGCTAGTGCACCTGCCCACGGTGTGGACGGCAGCAGATGTGGCCCCAGAAGGGGCGCTGGTCGGGGGCCCCCAGAGCCTTCTGCAAGAGCAGGGTCACGGGCACAAAGCAGGGCTCGCAAACATATCCCTTAACACACGCAGAAGCCGCACGCCGTGCGCCGTGGCCCAGCTTTTTGAGACCGGGAACTGCACGTAAACGATGTGCCAGGAAAGCGAGTCCCTCAGAAGGAAACCTCCACACGGACTCCAGAAGCTCCAGCGGGGGCACAGCTGGGGTCACGTGCTCCCGCCCCAGGCACAGCCCTGCCGGGCACGGAGAGGCGCCCAGGCGGGAGGAGGGAGCCGGCGGGATCCCCACAGATGTGTTACGCTCTCGCGAGGAGACAAGACTCGAAGGGGTTTGCAGGGAGTCGACACTAAGCACGTCTGGGATCTACACGGTGCCCGTCTTCAACCACGGTGCAGAGAGCACAGAGGCAGGGTACACGCCTGCGGGGGCCTGGGGCCGGCCTGCTCCCACCACAGACCCAGGCTCTGGAGGGTCCAGGGGGAGGAGGGTCTGTGTCACGCTGGGGAGCGGCGTGTCCCGGCCGCACCGAGCCCCTGTGCACCAGCAAACTTCCAAAACTGAGGTCTGTGTTCCTCCCCATCTCTGAACACCAGGACCAAATGGCCTTTTTTTTTTTTTTAAGTTTGTTTATTCATTCATTTATGTAATCTCTACACCCCACATGGGGCTTGAACTCACCACCCTGAGATCAAGAGTCACAAACTCTCCCAATGAACCAGCCGGCCGCCCCCACAACGGCCCGAGAGTGCGTCTGGGCCTCCGCGCGTCCCGTAGCGCGGGAGTGGGAGGGCAGACACGATCTGTCACGTCCAGCACGACTGAGGGAGGACACGGCGGGGCCCCAGCACCAGGCCCACCTGCAGGGAGAAGGTCAGCGCCAGGTCCGTCTCCACTTGTCCACTGGGGGGCAGCACGATCTCATGGGAGCGCAGGATCCGCTTGGAGCCCTGGGACAGAACAGGACCGGCTCGCACGGTGGCCTCGCACCCCGGAAACCGCTCCGTCCAGCCCCACAGTGAAGACCCACAGATCAGGCACCAGCAGGCACAAGCTCCGGGATTCCCAAACACACCCTTGGGGAGATTCGTCAAGAGCCTTAAAAATGTCCCCTTCCAGGCGCCTGGGTGGCTCCGTGGGTTAAGCGTCTGCCTTCCGCTGAGGTCATGATCCTGGGGTCCAGGGATCGAGTCCCAGCATCGGGCCACCTGCTCCGCGGGGAGCCTGCTTCTCCCTCTGACCCTCCCCCACCTCATGCTCTCTCTCTCTCATTCTCTCTCTCAAATAAAATCTTAAAAAAAAAAAGTCCCCATCCTGTGACCCTCCAAGTCCTCTCTTAGGTGGTCCAGGCTGCTCCCTGCCACATTTAATGTAACTCCCGGAAATCCAGCAGCGGGGTGCGGGGGGGTCACGGGACAGTGCTGGAGTCCGGGGGGGTCACGGGACAATGCTAGGGTCCCGGGGGTCACAGGACAACGCTCGAGTCTGGTGGGGGGGGTCACGGGACAGTGCTGGGGCCCGGGGGGGTCACGGGACAATGCTGGGGTACAGGGGTCACAGGATAATGCCTGCAAGGACCCTTCTGCATTCCTGAGACAGTGGACCGGTGAGTGACAGCCTCCCCAGAGAGCACAGTGTGGTAGAAGAGGGTTCTAATTACAGCACGGCTGCCCTGGCACAGGGACAGAGACGAGAAGTCTAGAAACACATCCGAGAACACACAGACATGGATGAAAGACAAACATACTATTTAATAACGACCCTTCACGTCACCAGAAAAATTACTAAATAGTAACAAATCATTAGTACAAAACGTCCAGATCCTCGCCTGAAACCATATACCAAAATACAGCCCGAATGGATCACAGATCTTCTCATAGTACAGTTTCCAGAACAGCTGTCCCCACACCCACGGAGCGGAGACGGAAGGCTGGGGGCAGGAGGCCATGGATGGACACCATGTGACGCCTGCCTGCTGGGCACCAACAGCCATCAGATTCAGAGCAACAAAGACTAGGGCTACCAGGGTGTGGGGGCTGGGACTCCAAAGGTGGCCGACGGGATGAGGGGGCAGACAAGTGGCAGAGGGCAGGAGTGGGCTGTGGGTCCAGGGCAGAGCACAGACGTGTGGGCAGACAGGAGCGATGGGCAGGGGTCCCGGGCACAGGTGCGGGGCTGGCCCCCCACAGGTGCCTTACCCAGCAGATGCCCTTGCCCAGCGGATGCCCTCTGGGCCACATGGCACCCTGTGCAGGGGTCTGGCTGTGGCCTCCCAGGCCTCTTCTGCACCAGACCCCTCAGAGGACCTGAGCTGACCGGCCTCGCTGGGTGAAGGAGGGCAGCGGCCACAGGCAAGCGGGCGCGGGCCCTGGGGAAGGCAGGTGGCCCACGCCCTCTGGGAACTAAGAGGCGGGGGGCTGCTGAGGACACAGAACATGTGTCTCAGGGAAGATGGCCCAGCAGAGGGTCTGTGGGAGATGCCGGGCACTGGAGTGGACGGGGTGGCCAGTGAAGGGGGCACTCAGGTAAGCAGGAAAGGCGGGGCTCCCGGATGGGGGGGCGGTCGTGTCAGAGGTCAACGGTGGCAGATTCAGAGATCAGGGGTGGGTGAACTCCACCTCGCTCTGAAGCCCTGGCAAGACCATGAGCCCTCCTCGCCAGGGGGCCCAGAGCACAGCCCGAGCCGCAGGCCGGTCCCCCGCGGGGCCGGTCCCCGTGGAACCGACGGGCAGCCTCGCACGCCTGGCTCTGACGGTAAGTTACAGCAGCCTCTTCAGGGAAGCAAAGGGTTTCTTTGGATCTTAAAAGATGGTGGCAACTGATGGGGAAACTGAAGACAGGCCTCACACATGAGCACTCACCTGACTCGAGGGCCCGGAGACCCCTGGTGAGCCCGCAGTGGGAGGCCCGGGCCGCGTCCCCAGCATCCCATGGCCTGTGAACCCGGGCTCCAGAGCCCGGGACTGCGGGTCTAGTTTTGCCAGCGCCCTGGGACCATTTCCCCGTCAACCAGCAGGGGCAGAGGCTCCCCTGCATCCCAGGGCAGCAGCAGCTCCCTGGCCCCCAGCCCAGGTGAGGGTCCAGATGTCGGTGTGCTGGGCCCCCTCCCACCCTAGGCAGCTCGGGCACCCTCACCTGCATCTTGACGGCAATCACCACCGAGATGAGCTCCTTCTCCAGCTCTTTGAACACCACCAGCTTCTTCAAGGTCAGGCTGCACAACCTGCCAAGGGCAAAGGCGTGCTCAGCGGGGACTACACCCTCCCACACCTCCCAGAGCCCCAGGAAGGCCCCATCCTAGGGAGCGCCGGCCTCCAACGTGGCCCCCTCGAGTCCCTGTGGGGGGCGGGTGGGTGTCCCGCCTGCAGGGGTGGCTCCGGGCAGGTCTGTGGGCAGGCAGGCCGGGAACCCGCAGGGACCGGGTGCCAGGTATGGAGCCCCTCTCCCAGCTTCCGGAGCACAGGCCTCTGCAGGCCCCGCCCCCCCTCCACCCCCACACGAAGGCCAGGATTGCAGCCCCAACCCCAGCTGCCCTGCCCTCCCCCCGGTCTGCGCAGGGTCCCTGGAGGCTCCAGCAGCTCTCCGGTCACCCCCTCTGCATACGCCCACCCCGCAGCGCCCATGTCCGTGAGCCCACGGGGAACGTCCATGAACCCTTGTGCTAGCGTCACCACTCTAAGCGTGGGGTGCAGGCGGGGCATGAGGGCCCTGCACAGGGGAAGCCTGGGCCTCGGTCCTGGTCCTTGGCTGGGGAATAGCAGCGGCTGTGCCTGCCTTGCAAACTGGCATGCAGGACCGCTTAGTTGCCCGAGGCTTCACGGTCCTGAAGGCAGCAGAGCCACCGGCCGAGGAGCCGGGGGGAGAGGAGCCTAGGGTCTGTGCGGGGCAGGGGCCGCAGCCAAAGCGGCTGGGCCCCGCCCGCAGCTCCTGGAAGCCTCGCTCACTTTCCAGATCTGATGTCAGCCCGCTGCTCACAGGGACAGCTCCGGGCCCACACAAGGACAGCAGACCCCCACCCCGCCCACGGAGCTTCGAGCCCCGGAGTCACACAGGTCCTACTTGGGGCTGCACACCCCCACGCCCACCCGCGTTCAGCCAGCAAGGTCTGCGTCTACACCCAGAACAGCGGGGCACATGCTGTCATGGCCCCTCTTCTGACGCAGAGACCCGACACTCCTCTGTCTGCCTCAGAGAAGGCATGGGGACACGGGCGCCGGAAGGAAGACCCCGGCCCCCTCAACTCCCCATTCTCTATCCAGGCAGCAGAGAGCAACAGGGCGAGGCCAGGAGCTCAGGTCTGGACACAGGGCCTGGGTCTGCTCAACAGGGTGGCTCTGGAAGGTTTCATGGGCTCCGTGAGCACCTGCCAGCCACCCACGGAGCAGAGACGCCCACCCCCATCCTGGGCTTCCTACGGAGACCCCGCCGACATCCCAGGCATGAAATGAAGACCCCACTGTTCTGTGTTTTCTTAGATTCTGTATTTCTCTACTTGACGTCCAGTACTTATATGGCCAACGGACGGCCAGAGCTGCTTACAGACCCCCTGGATCCACGGCCCGTACTCTGAACCCCTCCTCATCCAACTCTCAACGCCAACTTAACAGCCCCCTGCCCTGCACACCTAGGCCCAGGAAGCGGACAACCAGGGGCTGCCCCTGTCTCCCTGAGCCTCAAGGTCCACTGGAGTGACTCCAACCAGCCGATCGGAGCTGATGCTTCATCTATGGAAACCCCAGTGACGCCTCTGGTCTGGGCCTCACCTGCGGTTCCTCTGCCCCCGACCAGCCCCGGTGCCTCCCCGCGGCCCCGGGCACGGCGCCTCCTGCTCTAGGAGGCAGTGAACAGTAAACCCTCCTCTCACCGGCACTGACCTGTCTTGCCGTCACTCAGTCCCCCTCACAAACCAAGACCAGTGCAAACCACCGACTCCCATCCTGGGCCCACAGCCAGCTTGCCATGATGCAGCACTCGGGGCCAGGTGGAGGATGACGGGGACAGCACGTGCCCTCAACGGAGCCCAGAGGAGCCAGGAGACAGACACGAGGGCTTCCCCGGCCAGCAAGGCCCCTGACTCAAGCAGAAGGACAGCTCCAGGCTGGGGACAAATGGGACTGTGCCCACAGCCCCTGACATGCGGGTGCCCAGGGGAAGCCCAGCCCGCTCCGCCCATCAGGCCACTCTGGCTCTGCAGGAAACGAACTGGGAAAGAGAGAAAATGGTGAAAGCTGTGGGTTACAGAGACGAGTGTCCACGGGGACCAACCACAGCCCGGCACAAAGGAGCACCAGCACTCTGAAAAGGACTGATGTCGTGCGGTGCCTGGGTGGCTCCGTCGGTGAAGCGTCAGCCTTCAGCGCAGGTCATGGTCCCAGGGTCCTGGGATCGAGTCCCGCCTGGGGCTCCCTGCTCCATGGGGAGTCGGCATCTCCCCGTCCCTCTGCCTGCAGCTCCCGCTGCTTGTGCTCACACTCTGCCTCTCACTAATAAATAAATAATTTTGTTTTTTTAAAAAAAGAACTGAAGTCGTGTAAAGTACGTTTTCTGATTATGATGGACTCAGCTAGAAATCAATAGTGGGGCGCCTGGCCGGCTTGTCGGCAGAGCACGTAACTCCTGATCTCGGGGTCATGAGTTCGAGCCCCACATTGGCTGTGGAGCCGACTGACAACAAACAGACAGACAGAAATCAGTGGCAGACAGACGGCCAGAATCACCAGCCACTCCAGACAGGAAGCAGCACACGGGCCCGGGAGGAAAACCCAAAGGATCCAGAAGTATTTTGTGCCGATCTTCAGTGAGCTACAGCTCGAGGCCTGGGGGCGGCAGCTGGAGACCCCCCCCCGCGCGCTCCCACCGTCTGAGCCTCACCTCAAGACACCAGGAAAGTGCGCGGAGCGACGAAGACAAAACAGACCCCACGAAGCAGAAGACAGAGAAACCACCGGGAAATAAAGTACCCAACGGAGTCTAAAGGGCTCCCCAAACCGGCTCTTTCGGAAGAGCAATCAAACTGGTAAAGTCTCTCACCCAACAGAGGAAAAAGAAGAGAGGACACGATGAGCCCCACCAGGAAGGAAAGAGCCAAGATCGCACAGAGGGCGGAGGCCGCGCAGCCGCGGGTCAGGCCTGGCGCTTGGATACCATGTACCACGACGTACCGACCCGTAACCACAGCGCGGCCGGCAGGGCTCGGGGAGGCCCTGAGCATCCGAACAGCCTAATCTATCAAAGAAATTGAATTAGTAGCTTTAAACCTTCTGAAGAACAAAACCCCAGGTGGGTTGAACCAGATACCAGAGGACGAAAGAACATTAATTCTACATAATATCTTCCAGAAAACAGAAAAGGGAGGGATACTTCTTAACTCATTTTGTGAGGGTCAGGAATTATCCTGACACCAACACCAGACAAAAACATACAAAAAAGAAAACCATAGACCAATATCCCTCTATGAACACAGACGTGAGGATCTTCAAGAAAATATCAGCAAACTGAATTCATCGTATGTAAAAAGTAGTGACTCCTACACCACGACCAAGCGGGGTTTGCTGGGGGCCGGTCGACGTTCGAAATCATCAGTGAAACTCACCTCATCCACAGGCTGACTTAGACAAATCATAAAATCTCCTCAAATGGGGGCACCTGGGCGGCTGCGTTCGGCTCGGGTCGTGATCCTGGCGTCCTGGGATCGAGTCCCTCGTCGGGCCTCTTGCTCCGCAGGGAGCCTGCTTCTCCCTCTGCCTCTGCCTGCCTCTCTGCCTGCCTGTGCTCACTCTCTCTCTCTCTGACAAATAAATAAATAAAATCTTAAAAAAAAAATCTCCTCAAATGATTTTAAAAAATTGTGACAAAATTCAATTGCACTTGTGATTAAAACTCTCTGTGAACCAGGGACAGAAGAGAACAGCCAAGGTCATGCTGGTGGCAGGATGGACCCCCCCACCCCAGGACCCGGAAGCAGAGCTGCACCCTCACACCCTACGGCATGGCACAAAGCTAAAGCCTTGTCCTGTGCAGTAAGGCAAGAAAAGGAAATAAACGGCAGAAGGGGAAGGGGGCAGCTCAGTCGTTAAGCCTCTGCCTTCAACTCGCGTCATGGTCCCAGGGTCCTGGAATCGAGCCCTACATCAGGCTCCCTGCTTGGCGGGAGGCCTGCTTCCCTCTCTCCCTCTCCCCCTGCTTGTGCTCCATCTCTTGCTGTGTCTCTGTCAAATAAATAAATATAATCTTCAAAAATAAATAAATAAATAAAAGACACAAGGACTGGAAAAGAAAAAACACTGCTTTGCTGTCTTCTTTGCAGACAACACAGCAGTTTACAGAGAACACCCCCCAGGAATGTGGAAAATGTGAAAGCAAGCCCCCAGAACTAATGAGCTCAGCAACAGCATACGATACAAATTCAACGTATAAAAAGCAGTCCCATTTCTACACACTAGCAATGAACGATTAGAAGTCAGTTTTTAAAAACTTCCATTTATAATAACTCCAAAACAGAAAGAAAATACCGAAATTTAACAAGACCGGCGCAGGGTCTGCAAACGAGGGGAAGGAGCCAGCGCAGGGTCGGCAGGCGGAGGGGTGAGCCAGGCATTAGCACCCCCCAGGCCAGAGCTAAGGTTTAGTGCCGGGAAATCCCAGCACGACACTGTCGTAGGTCTCAACAAGCTGGTTTCTAAGTGTGTATGGAACGGCAACGGACCTAGGATAATCGAAAGGATTTTGAAAAGGAGACCCAGGGAAGGCAGGCACGGTCCAGACTTGTGTGGGGCTGAGTTCTCAGGGCGGGGCTCATGGGAAGGCAGGGAGGTGAGCCACAGAAACAGGAAATCAGGGAAACTGGACTTCATCAAAGTGTCGTGAAAGAGGCGCGCCTGGGTGGCTCAGTGGGTTAAGCCGCTGCCTTCAGCTCAGGTCATGATCTCAGGGTCCTGGGATCGAGCCCCCCATCGGGCTCTCTGCTCAGCAGGAGCCTGCTTCCCCCTCTCTCTGCCTGCCTCTCTGCCTACTTGTGATCTCTGTCAGTCAAATAAATAAATAAAGTCTTTAAAAATTTTTTTTGTGGCAGTAGCCAGCGAAGCTAAGTCTGGGATAAGATGCTTGCAAAGTGCATGTCCGACAAAGGGTTTGATCCAGAATATATAAAGAACCTCCTAACTCAACAGTAGGAAAATCAAGAACCCAATTAAAAAACAGGCAAAAGATTTGCAGACGCTTCAC